GCATTGGATGGCTCCAACTACGAGGAATGGAGCGGGCGGATGAGGAGCGTCTTCAAGCGCTACAAGCTGCTGAAACTTGCGATGGGAGAAGAGAAGATGCCGGAGGAAGGTGATGCCCGCGATCGATGGATTGAGCGGAGCGTGGTACTGTACGACCTCATCCTTCAATCGGTCAACAACGATATGTTCCAGCACATCAAAGACCTAGTGGAGCTGGACGACTCCGGACCGAAGGCGTGGAAGCTACTACGCGACGTGGTTCAGCCCAACACGCTGCCGATGGTGATCGTATTGGAGAAGGAGCTGGCTGCCCTCTCCATGCGGCCGGGAGACGATGTGAAGCCGGTGCTTGACAAGATCAAGGACACCTATGCGAGGATGGCAGCGGCGGGCAGCAAGGTGTCGGAGATGCAATAGTGCACCAAGATTATCTCGGTGCTCGACAACACATGGGACAACCTGATCCCTACCCTCAACGCTCAGCAAGACAAGTGGATGCCTGAGTCGCTACGGCAGCAGATCCTGCAGGAGGACTTTTGCAAGCGCCACATGGGAGGCGGTGCTACCAACAAAACTGCTGAGGGATATGGAGCTGCAGGAGGCAGCAGAGGAAGAGGGGGAGGGAGAGGAAGAGGGGGAGGGAGAGGCCGAGGCCGCGGGAGAGGCTTTGGCAGAGGGAGAGGCCGAGGTGACTACAACGAGGGGCATGGGAGCTCTGGTGGCAGGGGGAGCACCCGAATGGAGGGAGCTTGCTGGTACTGCAAGAAGGCTGGACACCCGTGGTTCAAGTGTTTTAGCCGGCCTGAGGGATGGGCGCCCCCAGGCATGAAGCCGCCAAGTGGTGAACGCGCACGAGGTGGCGCTGTGCAAGGTTCAGGTGCACAAGGTGATGGTGCACAAGGTAAAACTGACCCTGGGATGTTCCTCATGGTTGAGGATGTGAAAGAGAGTGAGGATGATGTGGGTTCGGTTGGTAAGATTGTGATGCACCCTCTCACTCACTGGGTGATCGATTCAGGTTGCACGAGTCACATGACTCCGCGGGCAGATTTGCTTGATGAGGTAAAGCCCCCTGGGAAGATTAAGGTTGTGGCTGCCGCTTCAGGTGCTTTGCTCCCTGTGATTGGTGTGGGGAATGCCAAGGTGATGGGAGCCAATGGGGGACTTGTGGGGCTTGGGAATGTGATACTGGTTGAAGGTTTATCTGCTACCTCCTCTTTGTGCGCCGACTGCAGAAAAGCAAGGCCAAAGTTACATTCGGCCCAACCAGCTGCCGTGCAAAGCTTGGGAAGTTGCTGCTGTGGGATTTGGACGAGAAGAGCAGCTGCATCAAGGACCTGTGGCAGCTGCCCATCATCCCTTGGAATGGGAAACCACCAGCAACGGCAACGGCAGCGGCAGCGGCTAAAGCAACTGCGGGAGGAGAGGTGACTGTACCAATTGCTGGGGCCCTGGATGCAGTCAAGAAGGTGCAGCAGCCACAGCAATCACATGGTGAGGTGGGGCTCACTGGTGTGGATGCAACAGCTGCATGGGCAAAGGCTTCATCTGGGAGTGGTGAGGCCGATTGGGAGACGTGGCACGAGAGGCTGTGCCACATCAACATTCCGATGCTGCAGAAGTTGGTGAAGGATGGGAGCTTGAAGGGGTTGGAGGTGAAGGGGGCAGGCAAGGAGATTGGGAGCTGCCCTACATGCCTTGAGACCAAGACACTTACCGCACCATGCGGAGAGTCACTTTACACTGGGAGCTTGACAATAGGGGAAGGCACGGGTGGTACGAGTGATCATAGCATTTGGTTGTGTTCTCTCTACTTACGCATTCACATGGCAGATTGACAAGAGTTTCACTAGCAAAAGGATTACGCAATGTTTCAAAAAGAATGACAAAGGTGAACATATATGACATAGCAAACTAGCAAGCAGGCAGGTCAATCCCCAGCGTAGCAACGGAGCCGCAAGCAAGCATGACAAGTCGACGGCGTGCCAACTCGGCTTGAAGGCAACTTGCCAACACCGCAAGTCAGCACCTGCCAGCAGCACACCAGCGCGGCTTGCCAACGCTCCAGCCAGGCGGCTTATCAGTGTTGCAACCGCTGGTGACTATATGCACATGTGCACAGACCTACTTCGCAGGTGTGGGTAGACGGTTGAGCACGTCGTGCACCGTTACGCACATTGCGCAGATGCTAAGTCGGCCAAGTGCCGACGGTTGCGTCAGTTGTGCCACGTCACTCCGGGATACCAGCTCATAGGTTGACTTCGTCAAAACCATCTCGGCGAAATTCGCGCACCCTCACATAACTTTGTCGATCAGGATACTTGCTCGACCAGAGGAGGCCGCTGAGCCGACGCCGACTTCGGTGCTCATCGGTCGACCACCTTCGTTGGCCGTCAAGACTGGACATTGCCCACCGTCTCCTTTATGTCGACCAGCTTCGTGGCCGGCTTCCCTGTGGTTGATTTTGATGGAATTAGATACCCAACCCGACTTTCTCATCCAAGTTTGTTTCAACCACAAAGTCGGCTTCGCTATTCGTTGAAACCGGCTTCGAAGTGGTCGGCTTTACCGAAGTCGTTTAACCGCCAAAGTCGGCTCCGTCGAAGTCGACTTCGGAGCCTAGTCGGCCGCAAAACTAAGTAGTATGAGCAAAGGCATGAGCGAATACTTATACGCGAAACATGCAAACGGTAACGCGGTGCGTGCGAGCTAGCTAGTGCTACGCTGGCGTCGAGGTTCGGGCTAATCCCGAAGCGTAGGCTGACTCGGCCGGTCAACCAGTACGAGGTTTGGTGAAACAGTGCGAAGTTGGCGAAGCCCTGTTAGCAGTAGCAGGCGAACAACGGCTGCTGCTGTACGCGATGTTGACGGCCGCGGTAAGGAATGTCGAGGAACCCTTACATAGGGTGTCTGCTGTAACGAGCTGGGAATGGTAGTGTTGCACATAAGCGTTAAAATTCATTTGCAGGGTTAGTTTTTAGCCCTGCCTGACGATGATAGGGTGGACGCCCAGCAAAACCCAATTCTAGCAGTGTGTGTCCGAAATTTCACCCTGAAATGTAGGGCAAACAGGATAAAACGCCCTGCAATCCTGAGGCCTGGTCCCAGCCTCCCGCACGGCAAGGCACCCCAGCAGTCTGTACTTGTTCGGACCTCTATCGCCCACCCCAGACCTTCCCCTCTCCTTCCCAGCCCTTGCCCTTTCTGCTCTCCCATTTCCTCTGTCCCTCGCATAGCTGGCCCAGTGCTCCACTCCAACGTAGGTCTCCTCGCTTGTCGGTGCGTGGAGCGACTGACCAGTTCAATAATCGCGAAGCGCGCCGATTCGATCCCGTGCAGCACACTGTGCTGTACTCATCAGTCGTTGCATTGCAAGTCATCGAGAGCCGTCGCAGACCTGTCCGTCATGGTGTCGCATCGCAACCGCGTCGCGGGGTGTAACACATGTCGCAGGAAAGTCCAGCCGCCCTCCTCCTGCAAGTTCCAGCGAGCAATCAGCGCAATTGTTTTCTTCCACCCCCCACCATTTATTGGCACCCTCCTGCGCCGCCTCCTTGTCCGATACGTTTGCCTTTGGTCCAACTGTCTCCCACACCCATCAACCGTCTCAGTCAGCGGTGCGCCGCCGCGTGCATTGCGTCGGTGCCACTGTCTCTCCTACTTCGAGACTCGACTCGAGTGCTGCTTACGTCATCTCGAGTCTTCGGTGTTTCGAGAAAACCGAGAGAATTCGAGAGATTCTAATAACTGATACAAGGGCAAGTGGTAGCAAACGCCTCGGTCGTCGCTACGCGCACACCGAAGGGACTTGATCACACTACTACTCTACTACTGCCACGCACCCGCGACGTGCGTGCTGTGCCGCTTCGTAACCGCAACGCACCACATTGCACCGCGACTCCTTTTCGACCCGTTCCCAGCTTCCTAAAAAACATAGCAGCTCCCTCGTTACCAGATCCCTAGAAATTCCAGCGTCTCGTTCCCGAGACAAGCGCGACAGGCGCAAAGGCGGCAGGTGCGGAATAGAGAGTCTGCGCCGTTCGGCTGTTCGAGGCAGGGTCTAGCAGCTCGTGGGTGGGTCCCACACACGCGTCGCGCCTTTTGAGACGTCTCAAGAGTTGGATTCGAGTGCCGGCGGCGGCGTGCCGTTCTTTGAGAGACCGAGACGCGGCAGCTCGGGGGTGGTTCGCACACGCGCCGCGCCTTGCAGCCGCGCACCCAGGCAGCAGCACCAAGTCCCCGGCCGCACGGCACGCCAAGGCATTCGCAGCGCAGAGGCGAAGGCAAAATCGGTGTCTCTCGGCATCTCTCGGCGTCTTGCAACGTCAAAGAGTGCGGTGCGCTGGGAAGGGGCTGGAAATATCATCTTTCACTCGCAGGGCTCCATGGTTGTTGCAACGGCCTTCAATCGCGCGCACCGCACGCTGCCTCTCGCCCGCGCGCGCCTCCCCGCCCCCTTGGTCCTCCTCCTCCTCCTCCCCGGCCTGTTCCTGCTCGCTGCGCACGTGCCGCTGCACTGCCGGGCACAAGTGATCACATGTGCACCGGGCCAGCTCTGTCCCAACAACCTCTGCTGCAGGTGAGTTTTGAGACGTGTCAAAACGCTGAATAACTCCCTCGTTTTTACCCAGTGGGTAGCGAGGTGTTTCAGATGCTGACGGTGATGCTGATGGTGATCGTGATGGTGATGGTGATGGTGTTGGTGTTGGTGGTTATGGTGATGGCCATAAGCTATCGCTCACCTCTTCCTGCCCTTTTCAAACATAGTTCTCTGATCAGCATGCCTGTTACATGCCCGTGCCTGTTACATGCTGCAGTAGGTCCCATCCCTTGCATCCCCACCTTCTTGCCCACCAACCCCACCCTTCATCCCTTCCCCTCCCCCTCTCCCCCCCCCCCCCCCCCCCCCCTCCCTCTCTCTCTCTCTCTCTCTCTCTCTCTCTCTCTCTCTCTCTCTCTCTCTCTCTCTCTCTCTCTCTTCTCCTGCTCGCCCATTCCAGTGGCGGCTGCTGGGAGTGTGGCAACACAGAGGCATATTGCGCCGCTAACTGCACCTCAGGGCCATGCTTTGGTGAGCAAGAGGGGCAGAGCAGACATGTGCTATGCTATGCTATGCCATGCTATGCCATTCTGGTTAGAGTTCCTCGTTACCTGCATGCCTCAGTCAGTCACTGCGCTGCGCACACTTCATGGCACGTTCTTCTTTCTGATCCCTCGCCTCTGTGTTGTGCTTCTTCTATCTCGCTCCCCTGCTTCTGTTCATTCCACTTTCCCCCCTGCATGCTTTACACAACCCGCCCCCCTCACCTTGCATCGTCAACAGCAGCAGCACCACCACCAGAAGTATATGGGTATCCACCATCAGAACCACCACCACCACCACCATCACCATCACCATCACCATCACCACCACCACCACCACCACCACCACCACCATCATCATCGCCAGCACCATCACCACCTGCACCGCCCACCACCGGCGCCAGCCCAGCAGTAATAGCCGGCGCCACTGTAGGAGTCATTGTATCGCTGCTGCTGCTCGCTCTGCTCCTCTTCTTCTTCTGCTGCTGGCGGCGCCGCCTGGAGAACCAAACCGATCACGTTGCGATGAGCAACGAACACACCAGCAGCACAGGGAGCACCAACAAGTCACGCTCGATGGTTGGGGTGATATCAGGAGGAGCCGGGGCTCTCCTGAGCTTGAGTAGAACGAGCAAGGGAAGCAGGGTGTCCGGCGTGTGCCAGGAGTTTTCTCTGAAGCAGCTGAAGCGGGCAACGAACGGCTGGGCTGGGGAAAACCTGGTGGGCAGCGGGGCGTTTGGAGACGTGTACAAGGGAGTGGATCCCCAAACCGGGGAGGTGTGGGCAGTGAAGCGGGCCAAGTTTCTGTCGAATGACTTCCAGACGGAGGTGGTGGCGATGGCGTCTAAGCACCACAAACACCTGGTGCGCCTGCTGGGGTTCTGCGTGTGCTATGGCTCTGCCACGCAGCGCATGGAGCAGATTCTGGTGTATGAGTTCATGGCTGGCAAGGACCTCGACTGCTGGATCGGCAAAGGTGCGTGTGTGCACTTGGGGCTTGTGGCTCGGCTTGTGGCGTGGGGCGTGGGGCGTGGGGCATGGGGCGTGGGGCGTGGGGTGTGGGGCATGGGGCATATGGGTTTTGAGGCGCCTCTAAAGACGGCTCTGCCACGCAGCGCATGGAGCAGATTCTGGTGTATGAGTTCATGGCTGGCAAGGACCTCGACTGCTGCTGGATTGGGAAAGGTGCGTGTGGTTGTGGCATGGGACATGGGGCATGGTGGTGGGAGTTGGCAGGCAGCCAACCATGCAGCATGAGCCACTTGACAAATACTTCTCTCAATCTTCACCTGTTGAGAAATCCCTCTCCACGTTTCTATGTTAAACCATCTTCCTGCTTTCTCTCACTCTCTTCTCCTTTCCAATCTCGTTCCGCTTCCATTGCCCGTCCCTCCCTCCAGCCGCCCCGCGTCCTCTGAGCATGCGGGAGCGCATGAACATCCTTCTAGGAGTAGGCGCAGGCCTGCAATACCTCCACTCATTCAACATGGTGCACCGAGACATCAAGCCCGCCAACATCCTCCTGGACTCCAACATGCAAGCCAAGGTGGCTGATTTCGGCCTCGTGCGGTGCGGCGAGGGCACCACGGTGATGGCAACGCGCGTCATGGGGTCACCAGGGTACATGGACCCGGCGTATGTCGTGTCGCAGAAGGCCACTCCTGCTGTTGATGTGTACAGGTAAGCCTTGCTTCTTGATCCTTTTGAGTCGACTCGAGAGTGAGCGCCGTGAGAGCACCACGGTGATGGCAACACTCGTGTCATGGGGTCACAGGGATACTTGGATCCGGCTTATGTGAGGTTGCATCGCAGAAGGCCACTCCTGCTGTTGATGTGTACAGGTACGCCTTGCTTCTCGATCCTTGCATGCCGATCATCCTGCAGTGTGCATGTAGAGAAACGGAGTTGAGATTTATCTACATGTTTAGAAGAGGGCTTTGTGTGTTGGACCCTTTGGCGGGTCCTTGTGATTCGTAGTGTGTGGAACGGCGCCTTCAGGACTTTTTTGTTGTCAGCGTGTTGGGACGTCTGTTCTTGTTCTGCATGGGTCACTTGCTTTCAAAAAGTTATCGTGTATCGGATAACCTCTCAGTGTTCTCATTCAGGGTTATCCTATGTGTTTTCAAAATGGCACTGTGTTTTCTTCCTTTACCCCCTTCCTATGTCCCTTGTCAAGTTTATAGCACTTACCTTCAACTGTTGGGAATCATGTGGTCTCAATCATGTGAAGTTGTCTTCATTGTGTTTCCTGCTGCCTCTGTGTCCCTCCTGTGCTCAGTTTCGGGGTGGTGATGCTGGCGCTGATTACGGGGAGGAAAGCAACGGCTGGCGAGGGGGAGAAGGGGTGGGAGAAGGTAGAAGGAAAGGAGGAAGCTGCAATCAACCTGAAGCAGTGGGTGGCAGCGCTAGTGGATCAGGGCAGTGACGTGTCAAAATTCGCCGAACCAAACCTGGATGCCCCATCTGCGCTCCTCCTTGAGCTGACCACCCTTGCCCTTGCGTGCACCAACATGCGCACGTCTACTCGCCCCTCCATGCTCCAAGTGCTTGCGGAGCTGCAGGCTCTCAAGGACCGTTACCTGGTTACCGCTCCGAACAGGATGGCGGTACGAATCGACGAGGAGGTGGACGTCGAAATTGTTGATGTCGATCTTGAATCTGCGCTGGAGCAGTTGAAGGGTTTGGACCAATCAGCTTCATGGGTGCCAGTTAAGTAGCGTGTGCTGCTGTGCACATCGCAGAATGGTTGCTGGTACGGTATATTGGTGTATTGGGTTGGGGCATTGCTTGTTATTGTTGACCTAAACCTCAACAGGTATGCCGATGGTTCCTGTAGGCTTGCTTGTGGTATGCCTCTGTTATACGGTATGCCTCAAAGCCTGCTTTTGTGTGCCTTGAGCATTGTGATAAGGGCATTTGTTTTGTTTTGTTTTGTTTTGTTTTTTTTTTGGGATTTCCAGAGCTAGCCCAAGTTTTGTGTAGCTGTTACGGGTGCAATGAATCGAGGTAGCAAGGATTGCACTAAGGTGTCAAACGAGTACAAAGTATGAGCGAATAAATGAGCGAAAACTAATACGCGAAACATGCAAACGGTACCGTAAACGCCCGGATAAAAGACAGTGTTGAATAGTAGACAGGGGTTGTCTACTATACGGGTGTCTCTTATAAACAGGCTAGCCTCATTATAAGACACCTATTTGTGTGTACGAGATAAGACATATATGTCTTATAATCGAAACTTCAATATATTATAGCGAAAGTTGAAATAACGCGTACATTTTTACCCTTGCGAAGCGCGAATTTCTCCACGCGCTGACCCAGGACCTACCAAATTTGCCTCTGCAGGTGTTCTCCATGACGTGGCGTCCCGGGCAGTGGTTGCCGAAGTGGCACCTTCGCAACATCCACACTCATTATGAGGAACTCTTTTTCAAGAAGTACGGAAAATATTTCTAAGTAGTTTAAAAAGTTTAGATTTATAAGATTTATAAGACACCCTAAAGCATCCCGTTTACAAGATAACTCAAGCATTTTTTCCCGTGTACGAGATAAGACATATATGTCTTATATGTCAAACTATATGTGCTGCATATTGTCTAGGCTGTAATGGGGTAGCCCATATGGGGTACAACCCAATTAGGGTTTACTACTTGTACTCCTGCATCCTGTTAGTTCATCCATTCCTGCTGCTAGATTCTAACATGGTTTCAGAGCACTAAGGTCCGTAGGACCGTTTTTTTTTCGGGCCCACCTACCGCTGCGGTTACCGCGCTACCCCACGTACCTGCCTGCCTTGCCTTGCCTTGTGACGTGCTGCACTACGCGCGCCGTCCAGCAGCCCTAGCGCTGCCTCCTGCTGCCCTAGGCCAGCGCGCTGCTTCTAGAGGCCCGTAAGGCCCGCGCGCCGCCCCTACACGCCCTTCAGGCCCGCGAACAGCCCCTGCAGACCGTTAGGCCCCTTGCTGCCGCGCGCTGCCCGCACCGAGCCGCGCGCAGCCCGCTGCTGCCGCGCGCTGCCCGCACCGAGCCCGCGCAGCCCGCACCGAGCCGCGCGCAGCCCGCTGCAGCCGCGCGCAGCCCGCACCGAGCCCACGCAGCCCGCTGCAGCCGCGCGCAGCCCGCACCGAGCCGCGCGCAGCCCGCTGCAGCCGCGCGCAGCCCGCACCGAGCCGCGCGCAGCCCGCTGCAGCCGCGCGCAGCCCGCGGCAGCCGCGCGCAGCCCGCGCCGAGCCCACGCAGCCCGCGTCGAGCCGCGCGCGGCCTGCTACGGCCTCGCGAGGCCCGCGCGCGGCCCGCAGCAGCCCGCGCCGAGCCGCGCGCGGCCTGCTACTGCCTCGCGCGGCCCGCAGCAGCCCGCGCCGAGCCGCGCGCGGCCCGCTACTGCCTAGCGCGGCCGCGCGCGGCCTGCAGCAGCCCAGCGCGCTGTCAGCGCAGCCCGCGCCGAGCCGCGCGCGGCCCTCTGCCTCGGCCCCGACCTGCCGCTGATGCGGCCCCGCCCTGCAGCTGCCACGGCCCCGACCTGCCGCTGATGCGGCCCCGCCCTACAGCTGCCTCGACCCCGACCTGCCGCTGACGCGGCCCCACCCTGCGACTGCCGCTGAAGTGGTCCTGCCCTGCAGCTGCCGCGGCCCTACTCTGCAGCCGTTGTTGCGGCCCCGACGTCGCCACTGTCGTGCGCCTACTCGGCCGCCGCCCGTCGAGCGCCGACCCTGCTCGCCCGGCGAGCGCCTGCTCTTCCAGCCTTTGGTGAGCACCTGCCTGCCTGCCTGCCTGCCGGCCTGCCTGTCTGCCTGCCTGCCTGCCTGCCTGTCTGCCTGCCTGCCTGCCTGCCTGCTGGCCTGCCTGCCTGCCTGCTTGCCTGCCTGCCTGTCTGCCTGCCGGCCTGTCTGCCTGCCTGCCGGCCTGCCTGCCGGCCTGTCTGCCTGCCTGCCTGCCGGCTTGTCTGCCTGCCTGCCTGCCTGCCTGCCTGTCGGCCTGCCTGCCTGCCTGTCGCGCCTGCCCTGCCCGCGCTACTGCTACTACTCCTGCTATTAGCAGGTGGCCAGATGCAGCTCCAGCGTCGTTCCTGCGTGTCTCTCACGCCCCAGCAGCTTGATGAGTGGTATAGGGTTTGGGGCTGTCGAGGTGGCCGTCGTAGCAGTCGCCCTGGAGCTGGTCAGTTGGGGGCGTCTGGCAGTGGCCAGCTGCAGCTGCAGGGGCGTCCTCGCGAGACACTTACGCCCCGGCAGCTCCAGGAGTGGTACACTCAGTGTAGCAGGTCTACGCGTACCGTTCGCTGCCCGTACGTCATTCGCACGGGTGTTAGGACTGGTCAGCCTTGCGGGACGCTTGGTCATACACAGTCCCGCTGCTTCGCCCGTCTGAGCGACGCCTGGCGTACCGTGTTTGGAGACGAGGCTGAGCTCCCTGCCTGGCCGGAGCTGCTTGGACAGAGGGTAGATATCTTTGCACTTGACTATGATGCTATTCTCACTGCCATGTATGCATTGCCTACTAGTGTCGACCGTGCCTGTTACCTGTGCGTCCCGCCTGACCCTGGTATAGCGCCTGCTGCTCTCGGTACTGGTGAGGCTGCTGCTCTAGGTGCTCGTGCGTCTCCTGCTCTAGGTGCTGGTGAGACTGCTGCTCTAGGTGCTGGTGAGTTTGCTCTTTCTGGTACTGCGCCTGCTGCGGTCTTGCACACCTTCACCCTTGACTCAGGAGCTTCTCGCTCTTTCTTTCGCGACTGCACCACACTCACGCCGCTCAGTCGGCCAGTTCCGGTCTCCCTGGCGGACCCCTCTGGGGGTCCAGTCCTTGCCCACTACTCCACGGTTCTACCGTGTCCGGCCGTCCCGTCTGGCTTCCTGTCAGGTCTTTACCTCCCCTCGTTCTCTACGAACTTGGTGAGTGGAGCTGACCTCCAGGATCACGGGGTTGACCAGTTCACTCCTGCGAGTCAGCGAGTGACTCACTGTACGTGTGCTAGGACGGGCCGGCACTTGGCCACGTTCACCCGTGCACCTGGCTCGAGTCTGTACACACTGACCACTGAGTCCCCTCAGGTAGCTGCGTCTGCGTCTACGTCTGGTCAGCTGGCGGCCCCCTGCGAGTGTCGCGCTTTGTCGCACGACACTCTCCTGTGGCACCACCGCCTTGGTCACCCCTCCTTGCCTCGCCTGCGTAGCATGCACTCTCGCTCCCTGGTCTCTGGTCTTCCCAGGTCTCTGCCTGCCCTCCCTCCCTCGCCTGCGCCGCCCTGCATTCCTTGCGTCGAGGGGCGGCAGCGCGCCGCTCCTCACTCCTCCTTGTTTCCTCCCACAGAGGCTCCACTGCAGACGCTCCACCTGGACGTGTGGGGCCCAGCCCGTGTCCAGGGACAGGGCCGCGAGCGGTACTTCCTGCTGGTCGTCGACGACTACACGCGTTACACCACGGTCTTCCCCTTGCAGAGCAAGGGGGACGTCCCTGATGTTTTGATCCCTTGGATCCGCACTGTTCGTCTCCAGCTCCGCGAGCGATTCCGGCGGGACTTTCCTGTCCTGCGTCTGCACTCTGACAGAGGTGGTGAGTTCTCCTTCGACCTCTTGGCAGCCTACTGTGCGGAGCACGGCATCACCCAGTCGTTCACGCTTCCGGCCTCTCCACAGCAGAATGGGGTTGCTGAGCGCCGCATTGGCTTAGTCATGGAGGTCGCTCGTACCTCCATGATCCATGCGGCTGCCCCCCATTTCCTGTGGCCGTTTGCGGTCCGGTACGCCGCGCATCAGCTCAACCTCTGGCCCCGTGTCTCCTTGCCGGAGACCTCGCCCACACTGCTGTGGACGGGGAAGGTTGGCGATGCGTCGCGTTTCCGGGTCTGGGGTGCTCGTGCCTTTGTCCGCGATACCACCGCGGACAAGCTCTCCGCCCGCGCTGTTCCCTGTGTCTTCCTTGGCTTTGTCCCTGACGCGCCTGGTTGGCAGTTTTACCACCCCACCTCGCGCCGTGTCTTTGCGTCTCAGGACGTCACGTTCGACGAGTCGGTTCCCTTTTACCGTCTCTTCCCCTACCGCACTGCCCCGCTCCCCCCCCGCCGCTCTTCCTCGCTCCAGGTGCTCCCCAGGTAGACCCCCTCCCCGCTCCAGGTCCTGCTCCTTCAAGTGTTTCTCAGGTAGACCCTCCTCCCTTGACTGCGCCGGTTGAGGTCACTGGTGACTCAGGTCCTACTGAGGGTGGTCCTGCTCGGGGTGCTACTTCTGGGGGTGCTGAGCCTGGGGGTGCGGAGCCTGGGGGTGCTGAGCCTGCGGGTGCGGAGCTTGAGGGTGTGGAGCTTGGTGGTGCTGAGCCTGAGTGTGAGGGGTCTGGGGGTGCTGAGCTTGGCGGTACTGACGCTGGAGGTTCTGGAGCTACTGAGGGTGCTGGCGCTGGAGGTTCGGGAGCTGCTGGAGGGCCTAGTACTGGTGGCGCTGGAGCTGGAGGTTCTGGAGCTGCTGAGGGTGCTCGCGCTGGAGGTTCTGGAGCCGCTGGAGGTACTGGTGCTGAGGGTACTGACACCGGAGGTTCTGGAGCCGTTGGGGGTGCGGGCGCTGAGGGTTCTGAGTCTGCTGTTGCGCGGTCTCCTTGGAGTAGCCGCCTTCGTCCACGTGTGCCTCTCACCCCACAGCAGCTGCAGGACTGGTACGGTCGCCGTCAGCGTCGCGCTGCTGGAGCTAGGAGTGGTGCTGGTCCTTTGTCTACTGGAGGTGCTGGAGTCGCTGGTTCTGGAGGTGCTCGTACTGGAGACACTGAGGCTGGAGACCCTGGGACTGGAGGTGCTGGCTCTGGGGGTGCTGCTGCTGGAGACACTGAGGCTGGAGACCCTGGGACTGGAGGTGCTGGTTCTGGGGGTGCTGCTGCTGGAGACACAGAGGTTGGAGACCCTGGGACTGGAGGTGTCGGCTCTGGGACTGGAGCTTCTGGAGCTGCTGGAGGTACTGGAGCTGCTGGAGGTACTGGAGCTGCTGGAGGCACTGGAGCTGCTGGAGCTGCCGGTCCTGGTGCAGCTGCGCCGACACGACGGTTCTTCGCTCCGCCGTCTCCGTCGTCTCTGCCGCCGTCTGACTCTGTTCTTCGTCAGGTTCTTACTCTCCCGTCGTCTACTGGTCTTCCGTTACAGCCTGGCTCACCGCTGCCTGCTCCTTCTCCTTACACTGTGCAGACTGGTAGTCCTGCTGAGCGTCGTGAGCCTGCGTCGCGTCCTGTTTCGCCTGTTCGTCCTAGTCGTACCGGTCGTCGTGTTCCTCGTTCGCGTCAGCCGGCTGTCCCCAGCGCACACCTCGTAGTCCGTCGTCCTTCCTCTGCTCCGCAGCCTGTTCCTCTGCCGTCTCCTCCTGCGTCCTCTTTGCCTGACGTTCCGGACCCTGCGTCTGACCGGTTTCGTGCTGAGCACCCTACTGTCACGCGTCTACTAGCCACTGTTGTCACTGACCCGTCGTTTGAGTCTGCTGCTGCGTCTGCTCTTGTCGCTGAGCTTGTTGACTTTGCTGCTGCCTGTCGTCTAGACTTCGCTGCCAGTCTTGTTACTGAGTCTGAGTCTGTCTGTCCTCCGTCCGTCGGGGGTGAGTGTGCTCTTAGCACGGACGTCCTTGAGTTCAGGCACGAGGACCTTGAGTGTCTTGCAGCCGCTGCGCCTCATCTCGTTGCCATGCTGCTTGCCCCTGAGGGAGACCCGGATGCACCAGACATCCCGACCCCGCGCTCTTACGCTGAGGCGATCGCGGGTGAGTACTCCTCTTAGTGGCAGACAGCCATGGACGCAGAGATGGCATCCTGGAAGTCCACTGGCACTTACGTCGACGAGGTTCCCCCTCCTGGGGCGAACATCGTCAGTGGCATGTGGATTTTCAAGGTGAAGCGGCCGCCAGGTTCTCCGCCTGTCTTCAAGGCTCGTTACGTTGCTCGAGGCTTCAGTCAGCGAGAGGGAGTTGACTTCTTCCAGACCTTCTCCCCCACCCCGAAGATGACCACTCTTCGGGTGCTGCTGCACGTTGCTGCTCACCGTGACTACGAGCTTCACTCTCTTGACTTCAGCACAGCTTTCTTGCAGGGCAGCCTGCACGAGGAGATCTGGCTGCGCCACCCCCCGGGCTTCACTGGGTCGTTCCCTCCTGGTACCCAGTGGAGCCTCCGGCGGCTAGTCTACGGTCTCCGCCAGGCACCACGTGAGTGGCACGACACACTGAGGACTACGCTTGCGGCTCTTGGGTTCGCGCCTTCTACTGCTGATCCGTCGCTGTTTCTGCGCACCGACACTTCACTGCCGCCGTTCTACATCCTCGTGTACGTCGACGACCTGGTTTTTGCCACTGCTGACACTGAGGCTCTCGCCCACGTGAAGTCGGAGCTGCAGAAGAGACACACGTGCACAGACTTGGGTGAGCTGCGCAGCTACCTTGGCTTGCAGATCACCCGGGACAGAGCACGCCGCACCATCACCTTGACTCAGTCACACATGGTGCAGCAGGTCCTTCAGCGCTTCGGCTTCACCTGGTCTTCAGCACAGGCCACTCCTCTGGCTACAGGTCACTCGCTCTCAGCTCCACCTTCGGACGAGTCCGTAGAGCCGAGTGGTCCTTACCCAGAGCTAGTCGGCTGCCTCATGTACCTGATGACTTGCACTCGACCTGACCTCGCGTACCCTCTTGGTCTTCTGGCTCGCTACATGGCTCCTGGTCGGCACCGACCTGAGCACATGGCTGCTGCTAAGAGGGTACTGCGCTACTTGTGCAGCACATCAGGCATGGGGCTAGTGCTTGGAGGGACGAGCCCAGTTGTCCTCACTGGGCACTCAGACGCTTCTTGGGTTGACGACCAGGCTACTCAGCGGTCGTCACAGGGTTACACCTTCAACCTTGGCTCTGGTTCAGTTTCGTGGCGTTCTACACGCTCGTCTTCAGTTCTCAGCTCCAGTTGTGAGGCTGAGATCTACGCCACAGCCATGGCTGCACAGGAGTTACGCTGGCTCACCTACCTGCTGACTGACTTGGGAGAGCAGCCTCGTTCTCCTCCAGTGCTGTACGTTGACAACAAGGCCGCCATTGCCTTGTGTGAGGAGCACAGACTGGAGCACAGAACGAAGCACATTGCTCTGCGTTACTTCCTGGCTCGAGAGTTGCAGCAGCGAGGCCAGCTTCGTCTTCGCCACGTGGCCACTCGGGCCAACACTGCTGATATATTCACCAAGGCACTTCCGTCTGGTGATCATCAGCGCTTTTGTACTCTGTTGGGCCTTGTGCCTACGTTTCCACACTTGCTGTAGTCTCTGCTTGTACTGTGATCTATATATATATGCATGCTGGCTCTTGCTAGGTAGCCATCACTGTACTGTTATTGCTGCATATATATCTCTGCATGTGAACTGGCCCTGTGGCCCTTTGCTTGTGCTCGGAATGCGTGGTGACGTTGTGATCCACCCTGAGCTTGTTTTGCTTCTCTTGACTGGTCGTGTGACCCCTTGTTCTCCCCCACTCTGCCTATGGGGGTGTGTCAAACTATATGTGCTGCATATTGTCTAGGCTATAGTGGGGTAGCCCATATGGGGTACAACCCAATTAGGGTTTACTACTTGTACTCTTGAATCCCGTTAGTTCATCCATTCCTGCTGGTAGATTCTAACATTATATCCGGGCGATGACGGTAATGCGGTGCGTACGAGCTAGATAGTACTAGGCTGACATCGAGGTTCGGGCTAGTCCCGAAGCGTAGGCCGACTCGGCCGGGCCAGCGGTGCAAGGTTTAGTAAAATAGTGCGCGCAAAGTTTGCGAAGCCACGTTAGCAGTAACGGGCGAACAACGGGTGCGGCTGTACGCGATGTTGACAGTCGCAGTAAGGAACGGTAAGAAAATTCCTTACAGTAACGAAAAAGATGCACCGAATAGCACGAGCCTCGCAGGGGGTGTACAAGGTACGAGCGCAACGTCATGCGGCGTAGAAAAGCGCAACGTTCAAGATCCTTGGGGGTCGCGGGGAGGTTGAGGGTGGGGGAGTCGGGGTTGGGGAGAGCTGGAGTTGGGCATTAATGTGACTGCCCAACCAAGCGAGAATGGGACTGCGAGTCGCACTGGCACAAAGATTTCGTCAACATGATTGATGTTCCTTTGAAGTCTTTGAACCACATGGCCATCGTTCATCTTTGTATTTGAACATTTTCCCGCATACGAGCTACCGTATTCTCCCGGATATAGGACCCTCCCGAAAAAAAGACCCCCGGGACTTATGATCGGGTCTGGGACTCTTAATATGTATGCTATATGAGAGGACCCCCCTTTTGCTATAAAACCATTTTAAGACCCCCCTTTCTTGTATACACTAGTCAAAATTGAAAATGCGCGTCAGCTTTTAGAGGCACAGAATCCAAAATCTGACGCGTCATTTGTGTCAGATTCGGGTTCTGACACACCAATCACGTCAGATGCGAAATCTGACGCTTCTGATGCGCACGCGAGATTTTTTTGGTTCGAACATAAGACCACCCCCCCCCCCCCCCTCCCCCCTTCAAATTCAAGTGTACACCCCTAAATCGCATAAGTGTACATGATTATTAAGTGTACCCGGGACTCTTACAACTCGTTCCGATTAAATGTTCACCCTAGTCATTTTGCCTCTATTTTAGGAAAGTCCCCCGGGTCTTATATCCGGGAGAATACGGTATGAGCTTGTTACCCCATGCGCTGCACAATTCCCTCCCGACCCGAGAACCAAGACAAGTTCCCTCCCAAGTGCACTGACAGCAAGGAACATAACCCTGTAAGTTGTGTGCGATAGGAGTATTACAAAAGTGGGCTCGGCAACAGCAGCAAATATTCGAATGTCTTGGCCCCCAAAAAGGTCGTTGTTTGAACAAACAAGCGTTCGTTTCAGCACAGCAAGATGAAATTGGGAAGCTGGATCCCTCCTGTTGGCGACATCCATCGCTGGTGTGACAGCGTTGGTGTCAAGAATTCGTCGGCTATTAGCGGGAAAGAAACACAGAGCGGGATGAAGGCAACGGGGAGAGCTAGTGTATGTGAGCAGTTGGAGGAGGAAATAGAAGAGGAAGTGGGAATGGAGGCGGAACAAGGGAGGAGGAGGAGGAGGAGGAGGAGGAGGAGGAGGAGGAGGAGGAGGAGGAGGAGGAGGAGGAACGAGTTGAGAATGAGCCGTCCGTTCTGATCCCGCCGCGCGCAAAGCGATTGAAACGCGAAGCGCACGCGGCGATACTGGCGCGGCGAGCCCCGACAAGCCACGGGGCGCAATGGGGACTCGTTACGGGGACGTGAGCGCCTTACCCGCGGACGTGTGGTTGCGCATCGCCAACGCGGTAGCTTTTAGAGAAGAATGCACCTGCTCATGGCCGCTCGTGGCGTGCGGGGTCGCCATGCCGTGCATTCGACGCGTGCTCGCGCTCTCATCATCGCTGGGTGATTCGGACGAGCCGCTCGTGTTCGACGAACAATGCCAGTGCCCCCCCTCCTCAGTCTCCCTCGCGCAACGAATCTGCAGCTTCGCATGGCTGACCAAGCAGCACGCAAGCCCTTCCTGGTTCATTTTCTCTCTCGTTCATGCACCTTCGTGCCTCTTTAGCTCCCTCCTGCGCTCCTCCCTGTTCCCGTCCCTCTCCTCCCTCACCTCCCTTGATTTCTACTTCTCTCGAAACCAACCATCCCCTCCGCGCTTGCTCTACTCCCTCTTGCAAGCGCCGCGCCTCGAGTCGCTTATTCTTGAGCACGGGGTCGCGTCGGACGATGAGAACGAATTGGCGCAGCACCGCTGCAACGATGCAAAAATGGTGGGCGAGATGTGGGAGCTCATTTCAATCATGGAGGAAACGAAGTCGGACGGCGACAATTCGGGGGATGGCAAGATGCTGTTGTTATCAAGCAAGGACCGGCCGTTTCCTGGGCTGCGTCGCCTCCACCTGTGCCTCTCCGCCTGCTCGCCTCTCGTCCTGCGCTTCGTCTCCTGCCTCGCCCCCCAGCTTCACGATTTCTGCGTCGCCGCCACGGCACATCAGTTCACAGCTCACGAAGGCAACGAGGGCGCTGAAGCCGGTGCGGCAAACGCGGAGAGGCGGACGAGCGAGCCCCAGGGGGAGCGCGAGCGGGAGCGCGAGGGGGAGCGCGAGGGGGAGCGTGTGGGGGAGCGCGAGGGGGAGCGCGAGGGGGAGCGCGTGGGGGTCGCGAGGGGGAGCGCGAGGGGGAGCGCGAGGGGGAGCGCGAGGGGGAGCGCGAAGGGGAGCCCGAAGGAGGCACTGATGGACGACACTCCTCTCTTCACCTCCCGGAAGCTACCGGTGTGGCACTTATCAAAATCGACTGCCCCATTTCACTGTCCGCGCCTCGGCTCTCCGCGCTCAGCTACTACTGGCATACCTCCCGCTCCCGCCTGCGCCTGCTCCCCACCTGCCCCGCGCACCTGACGTCTATCTCCCTTCGCACTGATTGGTCGTGCCCGTGGGCGATCACCGCGCCTCACGTCACCTCGCTCGACTCCCTCCGCACGAACATGCACCCAGAGAATGCTGCGCGTCTCCCGCGGGGAGTGATAGAGACTGTCAAGGCCTTGGAGTGGAGAAATGTTCTGCATCGGCGGTCACTGGATCTGTAGGCTCGGGTGCTGTTTCACTGTCGGTGCTTCGCTCGGGTGTGGTGTGGCCGTGTGGGCTGGAGGGGTTGTTTGTCGACAGCGTTGCGAGTGACGTTGTGGAGTTACTTGGGAGTGGGTTGAGAGGGGCCGATGGGGAAAAAAGTTACGGAAGCAGAGGTTGTGTGACGCTGGGGGAGGAACGCACGCACGTAGAGGGTGCAACTGCAGGTGAAGAAGACCAAATGAATGGGCGGAAGTTATTGGATAAACTGCTCCCTGGATGCAACAGCCTACGGCGATTTGAGGGGTGGGATGAGAGTGAGCGTGTGCTGTATAGGTTGGATGCGGTTGAAGGGCTGAGTAAGGAAGTGGGTGGGAATTGGGGAGGTGGTTTTGAACAGACTTATTATAACAAAGCAAGGTTTCTGAGAGAAAGGGGGATACCGGTCGTGGATTTAGGTGCAATTCTGTGAATTGTGGTCAGCTCAAACTGCTTAAAGTTCTACAGGGGTTTTACGGTATATGGCAATGTTTTATAACATATGTTTTCCTGAATTTGTCATGTCTCCTGCTGGCTGCCTGATCCAACATTACCGTACATTGATATATACACAAGGGGATGGACGACGTGACGTGGATGGATATACGACAATAAACAGTCACCAACAAGAGTGAGTGAGCTGGGGCAAAGGGTTACCACCACTTGCTTCTACGTAGTTCGCCAGGTGCTTTTTCGTGTGGGTGTGTTTGCTTACATTTCTTCTTTTCTGGGCAACTTCATCTCACCAAACCCCAACCAAGATTCGTTCCAAAATCAGCATGTTACGTGTGTAACCTCAATTGAAGTAACCCCATGTAGCTACAGGTTGGGGGCAGCAAGCACGTGGTGAGTGGTGGGAAGTGCATGATGCACGATGAGGAGGGAAGGTTTCAGCGTAGCTGTTGTAGGGAGAAGAGCCAGGGGGCAATGTTGGCGTTGAACGCTGCTGCTTTTGAGACGTCTCAAAGGTTGAGGGCAGCAAGCACGTGGTGCGTGGTGGGAAGTGCATGGTGCACTTTGGGAAGGTCCCAGGGAGGCTGTTGCACGGAGCAGAAGAGCCAGGGAGAAATGGTGGCATTGAATGCTGCTGAACTAGGGACTAGCATTGCCTCCCAGTCCACATGAGGGGATAAATGAACAGGTTAGAAGGGAGGGAGGGACGAGGGAGGAGAGTGTCAGAATGTGATGTTTGTCTAGCCTGCAGTGGGTTACTCTATAGCGAGTACAGCCCAAATTAGGGTTTGCTATATGTACTCAACTGCCTGCTAGTGAAAACCCCTCTTTCCTGTTTCTTGTTTCTGCCTATGCTTTCGACAAAGAGAAGAGGGAAAGAGAGGATGAGAGCTTTAAGCTGGTGGTTGCATGGTGTGATGCTCACTCAGCGATTGCAGCGCTGAAAACATCCTTCTCTCACTGTGTGTGTGTGCGCTTGTGCGTGCGTGCGTGCGTGCATGAGTGAGCGCGAGGGTGCGTGTGTGTGTGTGTGTGCGCGTGTGTGTGTGTGTGCGTGTGCGTGCGTGCGTGTGTGTGTGTGTATGTGTGTGTGTGTGTGTGTGTGTGTGTGTGTGTGTATGTGTGTGTGTGTGTGCGTGCGTGCCTGCGCACATCCATTCACGACCATACACGCCCTTGGAAAACGCCTGTAAGCATATTCATAAATTCATGATAATTTCCGTAAATGATCCATATAAAAAGACATATATACAAGGCTTATACGGTAACGCTAGAACTCTCGTACGGAGAGAAGTAAATAAATGGAGGGGAGCTAGTGTGTCCATATCATGGTTCGCATTTCCCGGCCTTGATCTCGACTTGGTCCGGAATGCACACTCTGGTGGCTTTGACGAGCTTATCGATGCAATCGTAGCCGTTGACCCGCTTGTAACACCCTTTGATTCCACGGAAGTACTTGACCTGCAGGCCAGTGCAGCGGTCGCCACTCCCAACCACGTACGCGCGAGTCTTGGGGCACACTCCTTGCGTGAAGCTGAACGAGCTGCCTATGCACGCCTGCACTTGCCGTGTACATGGGTGTGTGCAGGGGGTGAGGGTGGGGGGAAAGAGGGCGGGAGGACAGTGGGGGAGAGAGGGTGGAGGGAGGGGGGAGGAGGGGGTGAAAGAGTGAATAGGAGGAAGGCACGGAAGTGACGAGTAATAATTGACAGTAGGGTCAAAGCGGGGAGGGAGGCTAAAGAAGGTGTCTGTGCAGGCATGCCGACCAAGCAGCACAAATAACTCTCGACGCCTGGAGGTGCGGACCAGGGTTGCAGGCTAAGGGCAGATGTGTGCTGCAGGTGTGGTCTACAGTGTGGTCTGCAGAGTGTTTCTCAGTGTGAACTTCCTGGTGTAAACTATAGGCTGAGACTGAGGAAACCAGTGAATGCCATGGAGGTGCAGGGAAACGACAAAGGTGCAGTGTGAAACTCGATGGAAAACCATAGGGGTAATGAGTGTGAACTGCGAAATGAGAGGCAAGAGGATAGGGCAAGGAGAAATGGGGAGACGGTGAATGGGGAAAAGAAGGTGAAGAACCGGGAGGAGAGGATGAGGGAAGGAAGAGGGTAGTGTGGAGAAAGGGGAGAGCAGAGGGCTGACCTGGAAGCCTGTGAGGCTGGCGACGTCAGTCTTGGGCACGAGGCGGCTGCACTTGATGCCGGGGTTGAGGCGGAAGAAGTCAATTGGGGAGAGCGGCGGGGAGGGCACGGAGCGGATCTGGTCGCACGTCTCCCCGGCCTGCACCAGATAGAACTGCGAGCACACCGGGATGAGCAGCGCCGCTGCGCTCTCCGCCCGCCGCTCCACACACACCGCCTGGCTGGGCGGAAGCACCCCGTTGCTGTCACCAAAGCAGTCCAGCCCGGGGTTGAGGGCCTGGAAGGCCTCTGCGCAGGGCTCGGTGGGAATGGTGCAGCCGGCGGTGAGGGAGAAGTATTTCGCTAGCGACTCGCATGTGTCGCCCTGGGAGGATGGGAGTGAGGAGGGGGGAGAGAGAGTGGGGGGGAAATGGGGGAGGAGGGAGGGTAAAGAGAGAGAAGGATGAAGGGAGACGTGGGCAGGGAATTCGGTGCAGAGAAAGGGTAAGGTGCCAACGACTTCACGTGTTGCCCTTGGGGTTGGATGATGGTGGGAGAACTGTGAGAGAAGAGGACGAGGTGAGAGCAAGGAGGGTGGGAACAGGAAGAGGAGAAGGCGAAGGAGAGCACAAGTGTGAGGGTTGGGAGTAGGCAGGGTTTAGGGTCCGGACTAATGGAGGATGGTCCGGACGAATGAAAAGGGGCACTGAGGAAGGAAGGGGGAGAGGTTTGGGATAGAAAGGCGAATGGACTGGGGACTGCTTGGAAGAGTTTATGATAGAGGGAGCGAGGGAGAGAGGGAGGGAGGGAGAAGATAAGAGAGGGAGAGAGGGAGGGAGAAAGGGAGGGAGGGAGGGAGGGAGGGAGGGAGGGAGGGAGGGAGGGAGGGAGGGAGGGAGGGAGGGAGGGAGGGAGGGAGGGTGGAAGAGAGGAGAGGAGGGAGAGGAGGGAGCAGAGAGAGAGGAGGGAGAGGAGAGGGAGAAGAGGGAGAGGAGGGGAGAAGGCTAACCTCAGACGTGGTGTAGTAGACGGAGCAGGGCGCAAGGTCATCAGGTTGAACCACTTTTACCACCGTGCCGACAGCAAGAGGAGCGCTGCAGCTCAGACCCTGGAGGGGGAACAGGGAGGGGAGTCGGGAGGCGAGGGCAGACACGATCGGAAAGGGGGTGGCGGAGGGAAGGTGTGGTGTGGTTGATGGGTGGGGGTGGGGATTAGACAGTGCAGATAAGGGGGGGGGATGCTTGCGGGAATGAAAGGAGGGGGCTCAACACGCAGGAGGAAATCAGGAGGAAGATCTCCACTTCAGGCTGTGGGTGTGGAATGAGGCTCACGGGGTTCTGTTGTTGGAGCTGGGCGAGAGTGAGGCCGTAGACGGGGTGGATGTCGGCACACGTGACACCCCACGACACCACCGTGTATGTGCTGCTGGAGTCGCCTGTGCAGTGCGGTGCAGAGTGGTTCAGATGTGTGCGGTGCAAATGAGCGCGATGTGGACGGGTGGAGTGGTGCAGGTGGGAATGGTCGCGGTTATTTGTTATGAGGGAATTTGCCGGTGATCGGGGAGTGATGGAAATGATGGTGGGTTGTGAGCCAGCATGGCAGCATGAGTTATGTTGCATAGGCATACTAACTTACCAGTACACTCCATGGTAGCATAGCCTGACTATCGAAGGTATTCTATTCAAGGACGCCTTAAAAGATGAGAGAGGCGACTTCATAGTATGCTTCGCTTCATAGTAGCGTCGCATAAGTAAAGAGTGGGATAAGGTGAATGTTATAACGCGAGAGTACAAGTGAAATCTACATGGACCAGAGAATACGAGAAGCTCACCTGGACCACAGGAGAAGGTGCCTTCAACAGTGGTGCCCTGCCTGAAGCCCGGAGGGCAAATGCACGAGTACGACCCCTTGCCGTCATTCACACACGTGCCCACCGCACAGGGATTGTGCACCGCTGCCCTGCATGCGTCATCTGGGGTCAAAGGCAAGTGATGGGTGGGAGACACAGTCAAGACAAGCATGCTTTGAGGTGACTGCACGAAGGAGGCTGAACAATATATGCTGTGCTGTGCTGTGCTGTGCTGTGGTGCCGATAGCACCATTGCAGTAAAGAAATTGTCCGGATGGAAACATTATGAGCAACATTGTTATCATGACTAGTGCCCTCTTCAGTCAGCAGGTTAGTTGCAGCCAGGACTTCTTTTGATGAGTTTTGCTCTCCTTTTTATCCAATCCTTACTGCGTCCCTTCCTCCCACTCTTGCTTGGTCTAACTTTGACTCCCCCCAACACTGCGTCTCTCCCTATTTCATCACCTGCTCCCCTGACTGCTGTTTCATCATCTCTACTTTCATCCTGATCCTCCCCCTTCAAATTTCATTTCTGCTCCCTTGGCTCCTCCTTCCACCACCTCTCGACCCCCTCCTCTCCCACCCTCGCCCCCCCCCCTTTCTCCCTCAGCCCACTTCTCTGCCTTTGTCCGACACCCCATCTCTCAGCGCCTTACTCGCCCCATGACTCGTTCTATGCCCAACTTTCATTTCAGCTCTCGGCCCTCTTCACTTGTCTTTCTCCCTACGAGTGTCCTGATCCCCTTGAGGACCGCATAATAAAAAACTATCTATCCATCTTATCTCCCTCCTCCTCTGTGTCACTATCACTGAATTCACCAGGTCACCCACGCTCCTCTCTGTTGACACTGCTGCCATCCCCACCCCTCAGTCCTGCTCCAAAACAGTCTCTAGCTTCCACTCTGCTGAGTGGATGACACGCATGCTTGCTGAGTGTGAGACGTTCACCCTTAAGAACTCATTAATATGCTATTCCCCCTCCCGACGCAACCATTGTTAAAGGGGGCGTGGGTCTTTCTCCTGTCTTCAAGGCCTGCTACAAAGCCAAGGGCTTCACTCACCACAGAGGCATTGATATTATGCCACCTATTCCCCCAGTTCTTCTCAATTTCCGTATTCTCATTGACTGTTGCGCTCGCATACATTGCGAGATTTAATCCATGGATGTCTCCAATGCAGTTCTTCAAGATGACCATCATCAGTGCATCTTAATGGGGCGCCCGACTGCTTTTTCCCATCATTTCCCCCCAGGCGCCACTTGCGACCTCAAGCACCCTGTCTTGGTTGACAAGAAAAAGCCCCCCCCCTCGCTTGGGCGAAGCCGGTTTCGTTGAAGGCTTAGCATTGTGGTTGACACCGACTTGGAGGATCAAGTCGACTTGGTTGGACGACCTTGGTGGAGACAACTTCGACGGGTGATTGACTTCGGTGAAGCCGACCACTGCGAAGCCGACTTCAGCAAACGGCGGAGCCGATTATGTTCTCCGGCAAGTTGTGCAGTCAGTTAGGCTTCGATATCAACGCTGACTTGGAGCAGCGAATTGGGGTCGACCTCAGCGAAGCCGATTTCGGTGAAGCCGAACTCAGTAGTTGGCCAACCTCGGCAAAGCCGGCCACGACGAAGCCGACGACGAAGTCAAGTCGGTGGCTGACTTGCGGGCACCGACCCAATGACGGAGTCGGCCAACCCAGCGGCATTTTCTGGTCGACTGGGTATGCAAGCATCGTCCAGACGGTTGTGGTGAAGACGACCTGCGTGGCGTTAGCTCATGGTCGACGTGGAGCATCTGGATCAACCGTCAACATGAGGTCAATCTTGGCACTTGCGCAAAGTGCCTGACAGGAAACCACTTACTTGCTTGGTAGGTGCTCACATGTGCGCACCTGTTCACCTGCGGTTGCAACGCTGACAAGCCGCGCTGCTACGCTTTTGATGTAGTCTTGCTTGCCGAACCATTGTGTACCATTCATCTTTCAATCTCTTAGTCAATCACAAGCAACACATTGATCACTGGTTCATCCTCGTGGTCTCCCACGTCGTCCAGCTACCGCCGCTGTAGAGTCACTCTGCGCAATCTTCGGGGCAGCAACGTCACCCTCCTCAGCTGAGCCAGAGGTGTCGGAAGTGACCTCCAAAGGCTCAGCCAAGGGGGAGCAGCAAGTGGCAAAAAAAACTCGCCTCCACCTTTCATTCGCTTGGCTTTTGCATCTTTCTTTCGATCCGAATCTCTCTATCGAGACTTCCTCTCATAGGCTTTAAATCTTCGCCTATGTCGACGACCCTGTCTTGCTTGTTGAGAACTCCACCAACCAAACTTGTTGCGGTTAAGAAGACGCTCCAAGAACGCCTCCTTTGCAAGAATCTCGACAAAATCCGTCATAACTTTGGCATACGGATCCGTCGTGATCGTGCCACCCCCACCATTCAACTTTCTTAAACCTTTCACATTTACTCCATCCTCCAGCACTTTGACATGACTCCTGTGAGCGTACGACAGCTTTGCTAAGCTTTACTAGCTTGATTTTGCTTTATTACGCATTATCTAGCTTAGCTTTGCTTTATTTTGCTTGCTTTTGCTAAAATCCCTATGTTCAGTGTTTTTACTATATTTATTATAGTTATAGGCACCGAACTAGGTTGAGTGCACCGAATTTCAGGATTTTTCGGTTGAATTCACGAAAGACCCGTTCGGAACCCTTCGCGACCCGAGAAACCTTCTAGTAACACCCGGGTTACTGCCTTTGTGTCGAGCCTATATATAGCCTCGCTTTGTACCCAGGTGAATTATTCAGTAAATTTCTCTTTCCTAAACCAGATCCCCACAACTCTAAACTAAACTGTGTTCACCCTCTACCTGTTAACCATAAACTCATTAGACCCAACGCTCCCTGACAAGTGCACAGACATTCAAAACGCTTTACAATCGACCACACGAACAGAGGGGAGAGCGCCCACTATAAGCACAGGCGAGGGCATTCACTGTATGCACAGAGGGGAGTGCTTACGATAAGCACAGGGGCGAGCACTCACTGTAAGCACAGGGGAGTGCGCTCACTGTAGGCACAAAGGAGAGTGCTTACTGTAAGCACAGAGAGAGCGTTCATTGTAAGAACCGGGGAGAGGCCTCATTATAAGGACAAGGGAGAGAGCTTTTTGTAAGCACAAGGGAGAGCGTTCACTGTAAGCACAAGGGAGAGCGCTCACTGTAAGCACAATAGAGAATGGTCAACGTAAGCACTGAAGAGAGCGATCAATGTAAGCACAGGAAAGAGTGCTCACTGTAAGCACAGGTGCGTGAGTTGTCCGGTTGAAGCGCCTCGACGAATCGTGGGTCGTTGCAGTCGCAGTGGTTGCTGGCCCCATCAGGCGTGGGCGTGCACGTGAAGTTGCCACACGGGTTGAACAGCAGCCCAAACACCCCACTGCTGGTGCCGTTGACATTGCAGGGGTCCTTGGCAGTGTGCACCACCGGGTAGATCCCAGGCAGTGTGTTGATCCCACACACGCCGTCGCCCCCCTGGATGTCCATCCGCATGTGCCCGCCGTCGCCCCACTCCGGGCCCCATGAGTTGCGGATGATCCAGAAGGGCGGCGCCATGTGCGGGAAGGTCGGGTCTGAGCCGGTGAGGCGATAGCCCACCAGCAGCACCACGTGGTTCAGGTTGTACGTGAAGCACGCTGGGTCCGCATACTTGGAAAGCTGGGGGAATGCGGGTGGAGGGAATTTGTTAGAAACTATTCATAAGCGGCACCACATGGTTAAGGTCGTGGGAGAAGCACAACGCAAGTGGCTGTGTAAGTGAGTGAGTGCGTGCGTGCGGGTGCGGGTGGGTGCGTGCGCTTGTGCGCGTGCGTGCGCTCATGCACGGGTGTATTTGTGCATGTGTATGTGTGCGAGTGCACTCACCCCATCATAGTTGAGGAAGGAGGGGGCGGTGGCCTGCACATGCACCACCACGGGCTGTCGCTGCACGGCCAGCAGCAGCCCAAACCAGCCGTGGAATGCCGTGCGCTCAAACCCGCCCACTCTGAACGGCCCTCCCGATGGCTTGCTCTGCCGTGAGTGCAGGGGAAGTAGGGGTGGAGGGGCAGGGGAAGAGGGGAAGCGAAGGAGGGGTACGGGAAGGTGTTAGAAATACGTTGTCAGCACATGTTATATCATGTAGGTTGTTTGAAGGTTGGGTATGAACTTGTTATCACAACCTTATCTGGTTGGGACTTCTCCGTAATCTAACAAATATGCCAATTCATAAAAAAGATTCGTTTGGATTCCCATCTCATCTTTTCCATAGCTTCACTCATCTCAACCTTGGTTGTACTTAATGCCTAGTGCCTTCTCTTCTAATTAATAATTTCAAGCTTAGTACTGACAGAAGGGACACATCAGAGGTGGGGTAGGGACGAAGCAGGGGCAGTGCGAGGCAATAGAAGCCATGCATGGACCACGGCAAAACGCATATGACGACAATGAAATGGATTAACAAGGAAGAGCACCCGACGAGTTCAAAGCACTCGATGAGCTGGACAGCAGACAGCCTGCCGGCCACCTGACATGGGCCCAGGTTATTTTTGAGTCGACTCAAGAGTCACCTTCTGAAAAGCAACGGATGAGTTCGACGTACCTGGCAGCCACCTTTGCATGGAACAGCCAACTGATATGGGCGCAGTTTCATTTGGAAAATCAACTAGCCCTCCAAATGGAAAATTTGGATGTAGAAATAAGTAAAAAAGGCCCAAAAAAGCGTCGCCACAATAGGCTTCTTTAACAAAAAAAAAAAAAAAAAAAAAAAAAAAAAAAAAAAAAAAAAAAAAAAATGCCCACCGTTCCAAGGGTCCTGTTTTTGCCGCAGGAGATCCCAAGCGCTTGCGCAAGCAGAGCAAAGACGGGCATGCTACAGAGAGGGCTCTGGCTGCTGCTCTTCTTGGCCCCTCCCCCGCTCACCACCACCCCGGTCCCATCCTCCGTGAGCCCCACTTTGCTCTTGGCGTTGAGAGTGACGAGGTAGTGGAAGGCTTGGGAGGGCGAGTTGCCCTGCGCGCATGAGGAGCCGAGGGCGTCACGTAGCTGGGAGACGGAGAGGTGCGGCACTACTGTGAGGTTGGAGAGAATTCCGTATGCCATTTCTATGCTGCCCACCACCGCATACGCCCAGCAGTCACCTGAAAGAGAGAGGCGATGGGGAAGTGGAAGGATGGGAGAGGTTGATGGCATGTGAAGCCAAAGTGGATTTGTATGCTGCCCACAACTGAATGTTGGGGGAAGGGAGGGGAGGGGAGGGGAGGGGAGTGGATTTGTATGTTGCCCAGCAGCTAGCTGGCATGGGATATGTCAGAATTTGAGCTCCATGCATTACTAATGAGCTCGAAGCTCTTTAAGTACATCCAGGATGAACAAGGAATGGATGTGGAAAGGAATCGAGGGAAAGCTGTAGAAATTGAGGGTAATCCCAAGACAGTCTCCAGTTGGTGGGTTGGAGATTGCTTGAAGATCGCGTATGAGTCTGGTTGGGATGTGGGTGTACACCCAACCAAACACAATGTGCAAACTACACTACGCTATGATACAAAAGTGCAAGTACAAAAAGTGACGGTGCAAGAGAGAAACGGGAGGGGAGAGGGGAAAGTTGGAAGGGCAGAATGGGCATGGAAGGAAGGGAGAAGCCACAACAACAGCCACAAATATCCCACAGCCCTCTTCTGCTCACCTGACAGCATTCTAACAGTGCATGCCCTCTCATTCCTTAGCACCCCCTTACCCAACCTGGTAAGAATAAAAAAATCATGGCATTCTTCCATCCCATCCCATCCCATATAAGTCCCATCAAACGCCATTCCAGCCCATCCCCTCCCATCCCCTCTTTTACCCTCCCCTCCCATCCCATTTCTTCCACTCCCCTGCCCTTCCCCTTCCCCCACCCCCAAGCCCTCACCGCAGGCGCCCTGGTTCTGGACGGGCCAGGCCACGCCCTGGTCGGCCCAGGAGAAGGCCTGGCTGACAACCCACACCTCCTCCTCCTGGCCGCCTGCAGGCTGCACTGCCTGCACGCCCGCACTGGCGTAGCGGAAGAACAGGTTCGCCCCCACTGGCGCCAGCGATGCCTCGCTCAGCTGCAACCCAAACTGCTGGCCTGGGGGAGGGGGGGGATAGAACAGGGATGAACCAGTGGGGTGGGGAGGGGAAGGGGAGGGAAGGGGAAAGGGTACGGTTGGTTGGGGTAGGGTAGGGCGTGGTAGGGTGGGATGGGTGGGTTTAGGTATGGGGGATGAGGGACATATGGGGAGAGTGGGAATGAAGTTAATGGGTCAAGTGGCAGTGATTGCGATGGGGAGGATTAGGGGGCAGATGGGAGGAAATGCTGAATGAAGATTGGGAGGCGGACTCTGGGAGGGATCGGGGCGAGGCGAGGCGTTGGGACATAATGAGGGAGGATTTAAGGGAGGTTTGGGGAGAAGTGGGGGAGGGTGTGAGAACTGAGCTTGAACTGATACATTAGTAATGAGCTCAAGGCTCTTTAAGTACATCAAAGATGAGCAAAGAAAGGATGGGGGGGGGGGGGGGGGGGGGGGGGGGGGGGGGATCGGGGACAATCCCTAGGGGATCGGTGGCAGTCCCAAGACAATCTCGAATTGGTGGGTTGGAGATTGCTTGGTGATCGCATTTATTTTTGGTTGGGATGTGGGTGTACATCCAAGCAACAAAAAGTGCAAACTACACTACGCTAGGATATAAAAAGTAAAAGTACAGAAGTTGATATTGACGGCTAACACTAACAGAGGTGGGGAGAGGAGAAGGAGGAGTGGGGCGGGGGGGGGAGAGGGGGGGGATGGGGGGGATTGTGGGGGGCCTGCTCGAGTATTGAGGGGACGGTGGAGGATTGGGGGAAAGGATTGGGGACAAAAAAAAAAAGTCAAAGGGTGGGTGGCAAGAAGAGACTCGTGAAAAAGAAACAGAAGATGCGAACTCAAGCCAATCCAAGTCAGTCATACCTGTAAGAGTGGTTGATTCAGGAAGGCCTGGACAGACAAGGGGAGATGGAAGCAGACAGCGAGATTTATCAATAGATGCAACAAGCGATGAGAAGGTAACACATATACATGTGAACATATATACAAGGTGGAGTATGGTTTAGGGGCGAGGTTAATTGGTGATCCATTGCTGGTGGGAGAGAGAGTAAAGGATGGAGTGGGTGGGTGGGATGATACAGATGGAGGTTGGCAACACTGGCAAGCATTTATGCTGGACTGAACTGATCCGACACCAAAGAGACAATACACACCAACAAGTGCGGAGCACATGCGAATAGGCGACAGTACGGGAAGCAGGGAGCAGACGGAAACAGCAATTAGAACGAGGGTGCAGGGGAGAGCAGCAGGGGGCAGCAGGGGGCAGCAGCAGTAAGTACCTGTGGTGATGTTCCACTCGAGGATGGAGTGTTGCTGCGGGGAGTCAGAGGAGGAAGCAGTGAAGCCCATGAGGAACGACACCTCGGCTGCACTGGGCTGCAGGAACTCGCACAGCGACACCTGCATCGCCAGCACTGCCTTGCCCGGCCGGGGGGACCCCTTGCCCGACAGAAACACCCGCAGCCACCCCGTGCCACCGCCGCTGCTGTTGCTGCTGCCATAGCTAGCGCTGCCACTAGCAGCACCGCCAGCGGAGGAAGGAGAGGGTTCAAAGACGATCCAGGCCTGCTTCGGCTTGCCATCGTTGAGAGTGAAGGGCGCTTTGGCAGTTGCGATGGAAGAGGTGTTGCCCCTGACACTGAGCCCCACGTGGTTGCTGTCTGGGTCGTTGGCGTCGGTGCTCTTAGAAGTGTCAAACTCCACGGCTATGCTGCGCTCATCCATGCCTGCATACCCTAAGCTGCCGCCCCCACCACTGCCGTCGCTGCTGCCGCTGCTACCGCCTGTAGCAGCGTCACTGGCTGCAATCACAAACGCAAACCCGTCCCCTGCATCTCCTGCAGCTGTGGCTGCTGCCCTGCTGGCGGTGGCTGGTTTGAGAATGGAGAAGGAGAAATAGACGGTGAAGGCCAAGGGGCGGCCGCAGGCACCGGCTTTCAGGGAGAAGGAGAAGAGTGGGATGGGCAGTTGGAGGAACGCTGCACCCCACGTGTTGGGCTGTGAGGCTGTCAGCGTGACGCGGCCATCGTTTGCCACTGAAGCCCCCCCCTTCACTGCTGTCTGTGCTGCTGTCGGCTGCACGATTACTGGGTCCTCGCCTGCCAGCGAGGGAGGGGGTGCGGTTAGGCAGCAAGGGGAAATAGAACGGCTATGAGGGGGAGAGAAGTCCTTGAGGAGGCATCTAAACAGGACGGCATGACAAGAGATGGCTTTTGAGGCGCCTCAAAACGCAGCGCATCGGAAGCGCTGAGGCACCCCACAAGCCAACCTTGTGAATCGAGACCTGTGCAGGAAGGTTCCAGCTCCACGACCATGTTGCGAAATTCTCACAGCACAGCACAGAATTTCAGAATATCATTCCTCTTTTATTGTATCCTGCGTGTATCCTATACTACCTTGGGTAGAACAGCCGCCATACCAAGTTTGGATGCATAACTGGGGTTTAAACCTAGTTGGGAACTTGGGAGTTTGGAACTCAACCTTAGCCAACTATTTGATTTCTAGGGTTGGGTTGCAGAGTATTGGCCGCACAATTTGGCTGAGCATTAACCATGTTTATTAAGGCCCTCCAATAATCCTCCAACCCAGATTATTGGTGGGAGCCAAAAAAAAAAGGTCAGGAACCCAACCCTTCCCCGTTGCTCCCACCAAATGTATACCTTGAGATCTTTTTATCCGATCACATTTTTCTCTTCAAACTTCATATTATCACACATACGCACACTAATCACACAGCCCTAACATCCCACACCATCCTCATTCCCCTCTCCCGTTATTCATATCCCCCACCCTCCCCCGCCCCCACTCACTGCCTTCGGCGACGCAGCTTCCAGGAAACTCCCCGTTGACAAACCCAGGCTCGCAGTCACACGTGGGCACTCTGCTGGGGCCGGCCAGATAGCACACGCCATGGCCGTCGCACGGGGGGTCGTCAGCACTCACGCCACAGAAGGCCGCACAGAGCTCCTCCGGGCGCTGCACCGCTGCATCCGCAGCAGAGGGCGTGGCAGGCGTGGGGCAGGAGAAGCCGTCAGTGGGGGTTGCGAGGCAGTTGAAGCGGAAGGAGATGGAGCCTTGGGAGCAGTCGGGTGGGGAGTCGAAGCCTGAGGAGAAATAGTTGAGGTCGAGATTGTAGACGGTGACTGTTGATGGGATGGGCTGCAGTACGGGGCCTGTCAGCTGGTTGTTGCGCAGGTTGCTGGGAGGAGGGTGGGGAGGATGGGAAAGAGGGGAGAAGGGGGACGAAGGAAGATGTATGAGGGGGTACAAGAGATAGTTACTGGTTCTTTGGGAGGAGGGGCGAGGGAAGGCAGCGGATGTGAAAACGGAGAAGGGGAGGATGCGCAGGAGGGGCATGTGATGCGATGCATGCACTGAGGGTTTGGCTACTGGATGGGGATGCAAGGAGGCCAGTGGGGTGGGACATACAGGAGGGTGAGGCGGACAAGGCCTGTGAGAAGCGTGGGGATGGTTCCAGACAGACGGTTGTTGCTCAGGTCACTGCAGGGAGAGAGAAGATTGTTGGGAACAAAAACAATGGTCAATCTGAAATTTTGTTACAAACAATCTCTATCCTCAATCCGTTGCTCGTACAGTTGCTGAGATGACTCTGACAGAGCAATGTGGGATTCAAGCATCGATGTGCACCGTTTGTTATTATCATCTTGTTCCTGCAGAAAAAGACAGTGCACAGCATACCGGTGCACACCGGTGCACATACATTGTTCAGCTGGGCGAATGCTGCGTGACAACTCATATAGCTGGGGGATAAGGGTGGGTCACTCACATGGCTTCCATTCTTAAGAGCCCCCCGAGAAGAGTGGGCAGGGTGCCGCTGATCTGGTTGCAGCAGAGGTTGCTGGGGGTTGCAGAGTGAGGGTGACGTGCACACAAGGGGAATTCGGGCTTAAGGGGAAGGAAGGATTGTACAGGGGAGCAGGTAGGACAAGGGTCGGTCCAATGGCCAGGGGAGCAGAGGGGTCAATGTGAGGGGTGAATAACGTTCAGCTCATGTGGTTTTATGAAATAAAAGGAGAAAAAAAAACACAGACACAACTGCAACGGAAAAGTTTGAGGAAACAGGAGAGGCTTGGGAGGGGGAGGGGGACGGGGGAATCTGGTGGGGTGGGGGGAGGGGGAGGAACAGGTGAGCGGGGAGGGGCGTCCATGCAAAGTAGTGAGGTGGAGAGTGATCAAGGGGATGGGACGAGACAAGGGGTGTTGAACAGAAAGGAAGCACAGGACTTGGGAATGGGGATAACGAGGGAAAAGGGGGAGAAGGTGAGAAACGGAATGTCAATATGAGGAGATGGGTGGGGGACAGTGTGCGTGGGGAAGAAGGGTAGCAGGGGGAAAAGGAGAGAAGGATACGTGGGGTGTGGACAGGGCGTGAGGGTTGGAAGGGCACTGACAGTGTTTCAAGGCTGGCGAGATTGGAGTACTCGACTGGTATGGAGCCGGTCAAATCGTTGCCACTCAGATTGCTGCCGCGAATAAGATAAGGTGGTGGGCAGGGGGGAGGGGGAAGGGAGAAAAAGGGGACGACGAGGGTACGGAAAGGGGAAGGGAAGGGGGGAGAGAGGGAGGTGAAAGCAAGAGGCAGTTAGAAGAGAGAAAGTGAAAAAAAGGATTGCCTGTGACAAAAGAGAGGGTAAGGAAATGACCAGCACCTTCCTTCCCAATGCAGCTGCAACGGGATTCTTCAACGCTCACCCCTCCACCTACCAGACAGCTTGTAGGGTGCCAGATACTAAAGCCTGCCTAACTTCTGCTGATGCGCTGGTCGGTAGCGCATCAGCGGGTAAAAACGACCTTGGGAGCCGGACTTGGGAGCCGGACTTGGGAGCCAGACTTGGGAGCCAGACTTGGGAGCCGGACTTGGGAGCTTTGGAAGCAGAGCACCCTGCCTGCGCCTGCTGTGGGCTCACCTTTAGAACTTCCTTCCTGTCGCCGAGCAAGCACCCTGCTATGATCTGTGCACTATTCTTGAACCCCTTACAGCCTCTCCTTTGCTTAGCATAGGCAGTAGTAGGGATGAGCAAATGGCGAACACGAACATGTTCGTGTTCGCCTGGGCTCTAACATGGCCGTTCGGCGAACCGAACAGTGTTCGGTTCGCCGAACACTTTACACCAAAAAGGGTGTTCGAAGTTCGCCAAGAGAGGCGAACATTTCGAACGTTTTGGCGAACACGAACACGTTCGCCCAGAACATGTTCGCGTTCGCCTTAAAGGACCTTCTCAGATCCAAGTAGAGTGAAATCCAAATGTTTCACATTCCCTCCCACCACCCCCCAAGCCAGTCCCGCCCTGCTTCATCCATGCTAGTGCCAGCGTGCAACGGCGAAATGCTAGATCTACGCTTAAGCAACGGCGAAATGCTAGATCTACGCTTGTGCAACGGCGAAATGCTAGATCTACGCTTAAGCAACGGCGAAATGCTAGATCTGAGCTTAAGCAACGGTGAAATGCTTGATCCGCACTTAAGCAACGGCGAAATGTTAGATCTATACTTAAAGCCCGCGGCCCAAATTGCGGACCGCGCGGGTCAAGTTTTTAAAACTTGACGAAGTTGGTTCTGCAAGCTTTTGAAAAGAAGCGCGGCTGCAATTTGGGACTTTCGGGTCTCACACACTCACACCAGTGTAAACACTAGGGGCTGGCTGGGTTTGGCGAAAAAAACGACTTGAACGAAATCAGTAACGCTCGCCAAAACCCAACCCAGTAAAACTCCCCTCCCGTCAACTTTTTAAAACATGTGCAATTTGGGCTGCCGGCTTTAAGCAACGGCGAAATGCCTTGATCCGCACTTAAGCAACGGCGAAATGCCTTGATCCGCACTTAAGCAACGGCGAAATGCCTTGATCTGAGCCCAAACACCAAGGCCCGCGACCTAAAAATTGGTCGCGGGCCTATTCGTCGACGAACACATTGGTGTTCATCGAAGGCCCGTGTCGAACACGAACACGTTCGTGTTCGACGCGCCTCGGCCAGCTGAGCCGGGCGAACGGCGAACGTGTTCGGGCGAACACCGAACACGTTCGCCCCGAACAGTTTAGGCCTGTTCGGTTCGTGTTCGTGGCGAACCGAACAGGTGTTCGTCATATTGCTCATCCCTAGGCAGTAGCAAAGGACACTCTAGGGAAGCTAAGTGTCGCCTTGCTGTCTGTAGCTCTGTACGCAGGTCTCGAGTTGTGCATGCTACATGCGGGGGAACCACTTGAGAGGGACACGTCCCTGTCACATAAACGAATGCTACATGCGAAGGAGCCCTCTGCTGCGTGCTTACTGGAGTCGCAGAAGCGGAAGGAAGTGAGGGTGGGAGAGGGCAGGCTGAGGCACGGTCTCTTTCGGGCCAGCACTCACATGGCCCTGAGGGTAGTTATGCTGCCGATGCTGGTTGGAAGAGGGCCGGTCAGGTCGTTGTGGCTCAGATCGCTGAGAGTGAAGGCAGAGAGGGGTGGATTGAGCTGTGTGGGGTAGAGAGTTGGTTGCTAGGAAGGAAACGAATTGAAGAAACAAAAAAAAAAAAACAAAAAAAAAAAAAAAAAACACTTGTTTCGACATGCCATGACATGGCATGGTATATGGCAGCAGAAGCCGTGGAAGCATGCATGGGAGCAGCAGCGAGTGGGCGTACAGGTTGGTGATGGCATCTAAAGCTGTGAGCTCTGCAGGCATGACCCCCGTTAGCTGGTTGTAGCTCAGGTCCCTGCCCGTGCACATGCAGAGCAGGCAAGGGAGCGGGGGACAGGGAGGAGGGTGGAAGGGAAAGGGCAGGAGTTGAAGAGGATGGAGTGGGACAAAAAGGTGGGGTGTTCCAGTGCATGTGGGGGTTTGGTTTGCACATACACATGTGTGTGTGGTTTTATGCATGAGCACATGAATATCTGAACTTGGGTGTGAGAAGGTGTAGGAGTGTAAAACACATGCACACTTGCATGGATGCGTACATGTCATGAGTCTGTTAACTGCAGTGCATCAATGTGGGGGAAGCACACGTGCAAGTGCCATTCCAAGGTAGAGTTGAGCAACCGGCCCGGCCAGGCCCGACCCGACCCCACCTGGCCGGGCCTCACGGACTCCCAGGTCGGGTCGGGTCGGGCCAGGCTCGGGCCAGACTCTTAAAGGTTCTGGCCCGACCCGGGCCTACTCAGTCAGGCCAAAGGGGACCTGGGGTCGGGTCGGGTCGGGTCGGGCCAGGATGACCCGCCCCTTTAGAGGGAGCCGGGGTGTTCATTACATGTTGTGGAATTTCTCGGTTTTAGTTGTTCTTATGATATGTTTATAATACATTGCACGTCTAACTATGGAACTGCTGATCGTTGCATTGTGTGTAGAGTACTTTCAGTGCCATGTACGTTGAATGTTTGGTTAACAAACGTACGATAAGTCAGTCTCTTTGATTTCGTGTGCTTCATCTGAAGTACTGAGGTAGTTTAGGTGAGATTGCTCTAGATCCTAGTTGACTAGGTGATCGTGTGGCGTATTGAAGTCGACAGGGAGAAAATCCCCTTGACTTCTTTTTCTGTTGGGGTTTCGACCCTTGTCGACATCGGGTCGCGCGCTTGGCCCCACCCGATTTCAACAATTTTGGCCTGAATTCGATTCAGGTCGGGCCCGGCCTGTGACTCGGACCGAGTTGGGCTCTCGGGTCGGGTTTCCGCCCGGGTCGGGTCGGGTCGGGTCGGCCCGTACGGGGCAACCCTATGGAAGCCTTGACCCAAGCCAGGCTAAACCACGGTCGGGTCGGGTCAGCCCGACCTGAGCGAGGCACATGCTGAACTCTATTCCAGGCAACCGCGTTTGTGCATTTTTCAGTTTGCGCATGTTCGGATGGTGGCATATGAGAATACCCATGAGGTTTGTATCAAATCGTATATATGCCTCTCAGATTTGGCGGGATATGAACTTGCCCTTGTGCACTGCACAGAACAGCACGGCACGGCACAGCAGGACATGCACGAGTGTGCATTCTTCTACAACCTTTCACAACGTGTTGCGATGCGTACGACTTCAACAGGCTGCTTGCTTGCTTGCTTGCTTGCTTGCTTGTTTATATATGTGGCCAGTTGGTCGGCCGGTTGGTGCGGGAAGCGAAAGGTGGGATGGATGGAGGCAGGAGGATGGAAGCGGTGGAATGCTCACAGCTTCTGCAGGTTGCCAATCTGTGCGATGACTTTTGCTGGAACGGAACCCGTGAAGGCATTGCTGGACAGCGATCTGGGGAGAGAAGCAGAGAGACAGGGAGACGGAGAGATTGAGAGGCAAGGCAGAGAGAAGAAGCAATGGGTTTATAAACCCGAGGGGCTACAGGGTGGTGGTGACATTGAGTGGGAACGTGCGAAAACGCTTCTGTTTGGCAAGAGACAAGGTGCAAACAGCGTACTCAATGTGCAACTGATAGCACGCAGCTGGGAAGACTAGGCTATTGAGTGCTATCCCACCAAAGGGACACACGAGAGGGAGGGTGCTCGGAGTGCAGGGAGGGGAGAGAACGTGAGGGGGAGAGCAGGGCAGCGAAGGGAATGCAGTGAAGGGAGTGCATCGAAGGGATTTCAGTGCAGTGAAGGGAGTGCAGTGAAGGGAGTGCAGTGAGGGAAGAGCATACAGCGCCTTGAGGGCTGTGAGAGTGCTGACGGATGAAACGAGCGTGCCTGACAGACGGTTGAAGCCCAGGTCTATGTGAAAGGAGGGGAGAGTGATGTTAAGAGGACGAAACGGAGAAGAGGAGTTGGTGTGAGGGAAGGGCGAAGGATGGACCGGATGGGGTGTCAGGTCGGGGGGTTTGGCTGTTCGAGTCTGTGGGTGGAACCTCGCTCGCAGTAATAGTAGGGGAGAGGGACGGGTGCAGCAGCTGTATGCTCTTCAGAAGACAAGAGGACATGAGCACATGAGGACATGCGCACATGAGGACATGCGACATGAACAAATGAGGACAAGAGGAAACTGATAATCACGAAAGCATGAAAAGATCACAAGGTAAGCAGGGACGGTCGAACTAACAGGGTGAGTTTTGAGGCGCCTCAAAATACACCTCACAATACACCTTTTTGAGGCGCCTCAAAAAACACCTCAAATACACCTCAAAATACACCTGTTTGAGGCGCCTCAAAAAGCGCGAATAGGTCACAAGGTAAGCAGGGAAGGGTAGTGGTGTAACTAACAGGTAGGTGAGTTTGGTGAGGAGGGAGAGAGATGAAGGCATGGATCCAGAAAATTGGTTGTGACTCATGTCCCTGTGCACAGTAGGGCATGGTGTGGTGTGGGTGGTGGTGTGGCATGGGATAGTATGGCATGGCATGGTAGCAGAAAATTAAATTGCAACAAACGGAGGAGTGAGGGGATTAGATGACACCAAAAAAATGGGAGATTTCTAGAGCACAGTATCTTGCACAGGAATTTACAATACAGGAGATAACTTGCGCGAGCAGACAAACAAGGAGAAGCAGGTGCTTGCACGATGAGTCTAAGCAAGTGAAAGGGGGAATAACTGTAAGAACACTGCACAAAAATCGTCCACGCAGCACCACACACTCACAGGTGGGGCGTGTTGGTTAGGGCAGCGATAAGCGGCTCTGGGATGGAGCCTGAGAGAATGTTGGACGACAGGCCCCTGAAAGGGGAGGGGTGCAGTGCGGTGGTGAGGAGTGAGAGCGGTAAGGGGGGATGACAGTGGTTGGAGCGACGAGCATGGACGGGAGATACAAAGTGGTGTGGGATGGGTTGAGGTGAGATGCAGAGTGATAGACTGGAAGGTGTGTGGTGGAGCGAGATGCAATGCAAAGGGATGGGATAAAGGCACAGACAGACACCAACTATCTCTGACCCCACACACTGACAGGGTGGAGAGCAGCAGATAGGGTGCGACACATGCTACGCTACCCCCTAGCATAGCGGTCGACAGGGTGGAGTGGGGCTGAGATGGCACAACACACGCTACTGTGTGCGTTGGGTACTGACAGGGTGGAGAGCTGGGAGAGGCGGCTGTAGCCCAAAGGCAGCGTGCCTGTGAAGATATTGCCGCTGAGGTCGCTGGGGATTGGGAAGCGGGGGAGAAGGGGGAAGAGAGGGGAGAAACGGGAGAGGGGAGAACGGGGAAAAGGGGCAGGAGGGGGAGAGGAGGGAGAGAGGGGCGAGGGGGGATAGTTGGAGAAGGGAGTGAGGAAAGGGAGAACGGCTGATGATTGAGACTGGACTGGAGCACCACCCCGCTGCTTCCCCAATACAATCAACCGAGAAAAAGAAAGAGAAAAGGAAAGAAAAATAAAAGAAAAGGAAAGAGAAAGAAAAGAAAATAAAAGAAGAAAAAAAAAAAACAACAACAACAACAACCACATTTTCAAAACTTTTTATATACAGGCTAGGGCATTTGGGTAGAGAAGAGAGAGGAGGAAGTGAGAGGGTCAATTAGAAAGGGGGACTGACAGGTGGGAGAGAGAAGTGGCAAGACTAAGGATGGTGGGCAGTGGCCCTGATATCTGGTTGAAACTCAGATCCCTGCACGTGCACAGGAGGAGGGGATTACAGGAAACGGGCTAAAAACTCTCTCACATGTTCTATTTTTTCAAAACATACTTTCTATCTCTAACTTCACCAGAATATGATCACGTGAATATCGTAACCCACTAATGGAACTTTCCAGGCAATCTTACTGGAGGTTGCCTTTGATTCCATAATCATCATTTTTCCCTACCATTAGCTAGGGGCCCAAAGGGAGGGAGGTCCAGTCACTTGCATGTCAAGTTCTCTCAAAAGACAGAGTGTTTTTCAAAGCTCGGTGTGCGAAAACTGCAAAAGGCATGATCAATAGGCCCGACCCGACCCGACCCGACCCGGCTTGGGCGGGCCAGCCGGGTTCCGGGTCGGGTCGGGTCAGTTCGGACCTTTCAAGATCTCTGGCCCGACCCGGGTATCAGGTGCCGGGTCAGGCTTGACCCGCCCCCGGGTCGGGTCGGGTAGGGGCCGGGTCGGGTCGGGTCGGGTCAGACCCCCATATGCAGGGTATAACTTATTAAAAAAACCCAGAATGGATGGCGTGATGTGCGAATAACTTATAAAAAACGATTGGCTGAGTTAGGGATGAGCAAAAAAACGAACACCTGTTCGGTTCGCCTCGAACGTGTTCGAGGCGAACCGAACAGGTTAAATTTTTTGGCTTAAAGTGTTCGCCGAACAGTGTTCGAGGTTCGCCCGAACACGTTCGTGTTCGGGCCGCTGCTGCAATTTGCCCCTAGACGAACACGAACGTGTTCGAGGTTCGCCCGAACACGCCTTCATAGGCGAACGGCGAACACCTGTTTTTGCTTAAGGTGTTCGCCGAACCGAACAGTGTTCAGTACGCCGAACAAAGGTGTTCGTGCATGGGCGAACGCGAACACGTTCGTGTTCGCCCCTTGCTCATCCCTAGGCTGAGTACTGACTAAACATTATCGTAGGTTATAGGGTAGATTAGTATGCCAATGTTGCTGGGTGGGTGGCTGCTGGCGTCACTAGCTAGTTAACTAAGCTTAAACCAGATCGAAATGCTAGTTGCGGGGAAACAACACAAACGCGATTGCGATCTGGCTAAGTTTGTCGAGAGGAAACCCTCGGGTCGGGCCAAATACCCGACCCGACATAGGGCGCGGTACTCGAAACCGGGTCGAGTCCCTACTCGGGTCGAAACCCGACCCGACCCGACCCGACCCGGAATCGGGTCTCGAGTCGACCCGACCCGCCCGGGTATACCCGACCCGACCCGGCCGGGTCAGCGGTTCAGAACACCTGACCCGACCCGGGTAAAAACCCGGGTCGGGTCGGGTCGACCCGACCCGCCGGGGCACCCTGCTCATGCCTAGGCCTAAGTGATTTGAGTCAAACTTTTTTCTAAAACACAGTATGTGGAAACTGGGAAGGCCGGAGTGGGCAAGGTCACAGAAGACTAGTGAGACGAATTATGAAACAAAGGATTGCAGATACCGATGGGCACTACACTCTATGACTCTCATGAAAAAGCAATCTGACGGAAGAAGTGCATTCCAGCTTGAGTGCCTGCTAGCTGCTTCGTGCATGCAGCGTGCTTGCTCGCTTTCCCCCACTCACAGTTTCTTGAGATCTGTGAGCTGCGTGATTATGGCAGGAAGATCGCCCAATAACTTGTTGAACCCGAGCACTCTGATTCATTGGGGTTCGTTCATGGGGTTCATGGGGCAGCACCTCGTGAGAATTGCTTGGGCAGTAACATTCGATGCGGGTCTATATGGGACTGAATGGTGGTGACTGTTTACGGTGGTGATGGTTGAGGGTGTGATGGCAAGTGATAGAATGGGATGGTAAAGCTGGACAACGCGTGCGTGCGTGCGTGCGTGCGTGCGTGCGTGCGTGCGTGCGTGCGTGCATGCGTGCGTGCGTGCGTGCGTGCGTGCATGCGTGCATGCATCCATGCATGTGTGCGTGCATGCATGCATCCATCCATGCATGTGTGCGTGCATGCATCCATGGAGTGTGCGTGCATGGGCCCAGTTGATGGTATGGTGCTAATACATCCCATAGAAATGATCATTTCGCTCTGTGGAACATGCTAGCATGCGATTCGAAGGCATTGTATGAAAAGCACTGCATGGCACGGCACGGCATGGCATGGCATGGCATGGCATGGTATGGCGCGAGCAGGGAACGGAATGCCTCACATATTCTGCAACTGCGTGAGTTGAAGCATTGAAGCAGGAATGGAGCCATCGAGAGAGTTGCCCGACAAATCACTGCAGGGAGGAGAGAGAGGGAGGAGGGAGGGAGGGAGGGAGGGAGGGAGGGAGGGAGGGAGGGAGGGAGAGAGGGAGGGAGGGAGGGAGGGAGGGAGGGAGGGAGGGAGGGAGGGAGGGAGGGGAGGTAGGGAGGGAGGGACGGAGGGAGGGACGGAGGGACGGAGGGAGGGAGGGAGGGAGAGAGGGAGGGAGGGAGGGAGGGAGGGAGGGAGGGAGGGGGAGGGAGGGAGGGAGGGAGGGGGAGGGAGGGAAGGAGGGAGGGAGGGATGGGAAGAGGGAGGGAGGGAGCAGACCACAGAGAAGGGATCATGGATGGATCACAAGAACGAGGGAAAGTGAAGAGGCTTTGAAAAGCAGGATCATGAAAGGTTGGACAAGAGGGCAAGGACGAGCAGGAGGCGGTGGGAAGAATGAAAGGACAAGGGAACAGAAGGAGAGGGGGGATAGAAGTGGGTTGCACTGCACATGGAGCTACAAGGAGAAGCGGGTTACTCCCTATGAGAAGCGGGATTTGCTCTGCTTACATGGTGACTGCACCGCCGACTTTGGAAATGGCTTCAGGAATAGAACCCGTGAGAGCATTGCTGGCCAGGTTGCTGGGATGAGCAGGGAAAGGGGGATTTTGAGGGAAGCGGGTGCGGAAGGGAAGGGTGGGTGAGATGGGAGTGATGGAGAATCGGAGCAAGGAAGGGCGATGGCACATTCTAACAATGGCATGGCAAGATGACTTTTAAGTCGACTCGAAAGTCACATTCTACAATGGCATGGCAAGATTGCTCAAGATTGCTCAAGATTGCTCAAGATTGCTCAAGATTGCTCAAGATTGCTCAAGATTGCTCAAGATTGCTCAAGATTGTTCAAGATTGCTCAAGATTGCTCAAGATTGCTCAAGATTGCTCAAGATTGCTCAAGATTGCTCAAGATTGTTCAAGATTGCTCAAGATTGTTCAAGATTGCTCAAGATTGCTCAAGATTGCTCAAGATTGCTCAAGATTGTTCAAGATTGCTCAAGATTGTTCAAGATTGCTCAAGATTGCTCAAGATTGCTCAAGATTGCTCAAGATTGTTCAAGATTGCTCAAGATTGTTCAAGATTGCTCAAGATTGCTCAAGATTGCTCAAGATTGCTCAAGATTGTTCAAGATTGCTCAAGATTGTTCAAGATTGTTCAAGATTGCTCAAGATTGTTCAAGATTGCTCAAGATTGTTCAAGGGACTCCAAGAGGTGGTGCAGACGAACAGTTGAAGTCGGGCCCCTCACAGGTACGTTAATGCAGTGTTCAGAGCGGTTGGAGTCGGTATAGTTTCTGTAAAGCCGCAATGATGTAGATCCCTGCGTGCACAGTCACATGCAGAGTCACGTGCAGAGTCACACGCAGAGTCACATGCAGAGTCACATCACATGCACATGCACGTTCACATGCAGTTGTGGAGGGTGGTGGAGAGGGGCGGGAAGGAGTGGAAGGAGGGTGAGGAGAGAGCAATGGGGTACGTAGCATGCATGCATGCAGGCAGGCGCCGTTCCATGGGCAGATTGATCATTCAGACATGCAGACATGCAAACATGCACTTGCTGACAGTTTTACTCAGTCAGAGTTCGAGTGCTGACCTTTGCGCTCCTCATCACAAAGAGAGGGCGGGCCAACCAACCATCAAGGCAGGGCAGAGAGCATAGAGATACGGGCGAGATATTTCGACTCTTAACTTTGCTCCGCCTGTACCAAAATCTGCATTGATGCGAAGGAGCATTTGAGCACAAGGGAGTATGAACGGAGGGATATGAGGGTGGTGGTAGTGGCTTTCTTACATTGACTGGAGCTGCGGGAGATCGAGTAGGAACTGGGGAACGGAGCCAGTAAACGTATTGGCACTGAGATCACTGCGAGGAGGATGACAGATGGGCGAGAGGCAGAGAGGGAGGGACGAGAGACATTGAGGGAGAGGCAGAGTGAGAGAGGGAAAGATTTCCGGAAACAGGGATATTGTAACATCCACAATCAGAGCATACATAGACGAAATTAAGACTTGAAAGTTATACGTCTCACTTGACTCGTTGCTCATTCCTTCAAAGCTTGAAGGTAACAACATTCTGGTATTAATATGGGGTTCAAATCACAGCAGGAGAAATCCTCCTGACAGACAGTAGGAGGAGCAGTGCGTGCGGTACAGTAAGGGCACAAGAGGGCGGTACAGGCAGAGCAAAGCAGGGACTTACAGCCCTTGGAGGCCCGTCAGGTCAGAAACGAGCCGAGGGTCCACCAGTGATAAGTCAATTCTTTAGCCAGTCGACTTAATAATCTACTTATCACGGCCAGAGCAAAGCAGGGATGAGACTTACAGCCCTTGGAGGGCCCTTGGAGGCCCAGCCAGGTCAGAAACGAGCCCAGTGTCTACCTGTGAGAAATTGTTCATTGAGTCTAACTCAAATGTAGACTTATCACGGGCCGAGCAAAGCAAGGACGGGACTTACAGCCCTTGGAGGCCAGTCAAGTCAGAAACGAGCCCAGGGTCCACCTGTGAAAAGACGTGTATTGAGTCGACTCAAAATATACTTATCACAGGCAGAGCAAAGCAAGGACGGGACTTACAGCCCTTGGAGGCCTGTCAAGTCAGAAACGAGCCCAGGGTCCACCAATCCGCACTTGGCCAGACCACTGCTTGGAAGGAGAATGGGGTGGGGGGGGGGGAAGGGGATGGATGGACGGGAGGCAGATGGCTGGAAAATGGATTGACAGAAGATGGACTGACAGAAGAGGGACTGACAGAAAACGGATTGACAGAAGACGGATTGACAGTGGTTGGATGGTGTGGAGAGGTTTGACTGGTGTTTTGGAAGTAAGGAAGAAATCAGCTGTAGCATGAGAGCCAGCGTGACCAGGTAAGAAGGGTCAAAAGGCTGTGAGAGGCACAGCAAGCGACTCAGAAACCGCAAGGAGGAGCAAGCGAGAGAAGAGCATATGAGAGGTGAGATGAGAAGTGCAGTGGGACAGGCAGATAAGGTGAGAGCGGTACACCATCCATGGCATGTATGTAGACAGCAGCCGACCATGTGACTGATGAGTCGATGTAACAGTCAACTCAACAGTCGGTTGAAGAGTCTACTCAAGATGAGTCGATGCAAAAGTCAACCTACGGTTCAACTTAAAATTGAACTTGAAAGGCACCTTGGCGAGAGGTGAAAGGCGGGGCTTATGAGGTAATGTGCGGGCCAATGGCATGCGGCCTGATGCCCATGGGGCTCTGTGAGGTTCAGTGCGGTGCAATGAAGTGGTAAGGTGAGCGGTGATTGTGGCAAAACGGTACTCACAGGTAGGTGAGGGATGTGAAAGCTGTGATCGTATCCAAATAGAAGGGATAGAATTTGTTGCGACCCAGGTTGCTGTTAGAAGTGGGGGAGTAGAACGAGATTGGTAGAAGGTACAGTGCATTCACACGTGAACAAATTGCAAGTGAAAATACTGCCTCAATCATAAGTAGAAAAGAGAAACTAACTAAAGCCACAGAGAGGCATGCATGCATGAGATGAGCATGGGAACGAGCGGCCACAATAGAAAGAGCATGGAGAAGCACGGTGCAGGGGAAGGGGAAGGGGAAGGGGAAGGGGAAGGGGAAGGGGAATGGGAGTGGAAGGGGAGGGGAAGGGGAAGGAGAAGGGGAAGCGGAATGGGAAAGGGGAGGAACATATGCATGAGAGAGAATGGTGCCGGGAACAAGTGACATGCATGGATTGACGCGACAACAAGTCGAGACACTGTATGAAGCCAAATGCACCAAGTGCCATGACTGGGCTGTGGTGGGAACCGAGGCACTGAGACGGGAGAGACGAGCGAGAGAAAGGAAGGGGAGAGGAGCGATCGAGGAGGGAGAGCGGAGGGAGAGAGGAGGGAGCAGGAAACAAGCGGGCATGCAGCGGCAGCAGCACTAACAGGTGTCGAAGGTTGACCATGTTCTCCATATTCACTGGCAGGTTACCCTCTAGTTGATGTGTTTTGAGACGTCTCAAAAGGCGTCTCAAAACACTTCTTCATGCAGTGGCAGCAGCACTAACAGGTGTCGAAGGTTGACCATGTTCTCCATATTCACTGGCAGGTTCCCCTCTAGTTGATTGCCGCTAAGGTCCCTGCCATGCCACACCATGCCATGCGATGCCATACCATGCCACACCATGACATGCGATGCCATACCATGCCACACCATGCCATGCGATGCCATACCATGCCTCACCATGCCATTCCATGCCACAGCATGCCATGTCTTGCCATGCCATAGCGTGCCATGCCATGCATTGCCACGAGATGCAGGGAGATGGGCGGATGAAGAGAGCAGCCCGGAAGAACGCAGATGAAGGGTGTATGGTGGTAGGTAGGGATGCATTTACAGACGCATCAGGCATTTTAATACCAGCATCTGCACAGGACGCATGATGAACACCCCTCGGGCCCATGCCATGACATGCCATGCAGAACCAGCGGTCTCCCCAGAAACGAGGTGACTTTTGAGTCGACTCAAAAGTCTCCTCGGAAACAGAGGCAAGTGTGTGCAAGAAGCGAGTGAGGTGCTCACAGGAATGAGAGGTTGGTGAGGTAGGTGATCTTGTCTGGAATATTGAGTCTGAACCCACAGTTGACTGCACGACTGAGGCGAGAGGGAAGTGAGTTGAGTGTGTGCAACAGTGGAGTGGACACGAGAAGTAAAATGTTAGGGTAGGCGAGGGTGGGAGGGGAGACAGGAGCGCAGAGAAAGATAGCAAACCGACTGGACGGATCATGAATCAAGGCAAATACAATAAGGGAATGAGAGGTGTGGTCATTGCAACTGGGAGTTGTGTGCATGACGAGTGGAAGAGGGCAGCTGTTGTGGATTCTTGAGACGAGAAAGGAAAGTAGCTTCACAGTGTCGCGAGGTTTATTTTGTATTCATTTACAGGCTATAATATGTGGTGTTATAACTTTTTGGTTTGTCACAACAAGCACCAGTGGGATCTATGCGGTGTACGTTTAACAATTTCAATGGTTGACAAGATTTCCTCAAAAGATCATTAAAGCATGCTTTGCATTTGCAGCTGTAGCTGTTGCCGTACCAACATTCCTCCGGATAATTTGGTGCTAAATCACAACTTGGTCAACAAATCTCTTTAAATGGAAGTCATAAATACTCGAACAGGCAGGATTTTGCACTGCAGCAGCTGCTGTATTCACGATGCAAAGGGGAGGGCATACGGCTCAAAACACCCTAGGGTGTGTAAGGTTGCTGGTGCTGGTGCTGATATGCATTGTGAACTGAACATTGATACGGCACTGAGCAATGTGGTTAGCTTACAGCTGTCGCAAGTCACGGTGCATTGACATTGTGTTGATAAGGGTTCCTGAGGTAGCGGTGTTGGAAACGTCTCTTGAGTCGACTCAAAAGTCATGTGGTTAGCTAGCTTACAGATTGCAGGTCACGGTGCATTGACATTGTGTTGATAAGGGTTCCTGAGATAACGGTGTTGGAAATGTCTCTTGAGTCGACTCAAAATTCATGTGGTTAGCTAGCTTACAGCTCTTGCAAGTCACGGAGCATTGACATTGTGTTGATAAGGGTTCCTGAGACAGCGCTGTTGGAGGAAATGTCTCTTGAGTCGACTCAAAATTCATGTAGCTAGCTTACAGCTCTCGCAAGTCACGGAGCATTGACATTGTGTTGATAAGGGTCCCTGAGATAGCGGTGTTGGAAATGTCCCTGGTGGTGGGTGATGAGATGAGATGGGAGAGAGAGAGAGAGAGAGAGAGAGAGAGAGAGAGAGAGAGAGAGAGAGAGAGAGAGAGAGAGAGAGAGAGAGAGAGAGAGAGAGAGAGAGAGAGAGCAACAGAGGGGTGAGGAACGTTGCAGAAAGCTGCGAAATATCCTTGAAATATCTGAAAGAACCGCGTTCGCCTTGAAAATATCTGAAAGAACCGCGTTCGCCTTGAAAATATCTGAAAGAACTGCGTTCGCCTTGAAATATCTGAAAGAACTGCGCTGCAGCATACAGGACCGCAGTGAGGGATTGTGGCAGAGACTGATAAGCCCCACCCCATGCACTAGCTAGCCCCATGCATGAGTTAGGATCACCAACTCTTCCAACCCCCTAGTCTCACTGTTCCCCCCTTCCTTCCTTCCCATTTCTCACAATGAGCCAAGAACATTCGCGCAGCAGAGCAGAGCTTACAGTGAGAGGGGTATTCGAGTGGAGTGGAAGGAAGGAAGGGAGGCAAGACGCACAGCACAGTGACAGTTATGAACACGACTTAAGGCCTTGTTCACGCTGCCTCTAGTGTAGTGAGGCGATTTCTGATGCGTCTTAAGAAGGAAGGCAAGATGCACGCACATCATGGTGACTGCTGTGAAGAGGGTTAACACGTCGTGCACGTAGCCTCCTATCTGACTGTTCGCTACAGACCTGTGGCACACACACACACACGTGGAAACGAGTAAACATGGGAGGTGAGCGGAGGGGAGGAGAGAAGGGGGGGGGGAACCGGGGTTGGAAGGGGAGGGTGAGAGGGAATAGGCTGGGATATGAAAGAAGAGAGACATATACTGGGTTGGAGGGGGCTAGTTTCTACTCTTCTTGCTCTTCATCTCCCCGTCTCCTCCCTCTAGGAGAAGGGGAGAACATGAATAGCATATGAGAGGAATAGGTATCCAGGGGGGGGGGGGGAAGGGAGGAGGGGGGGAACAGGGAGGGGGAACCGAAGCAAGAGTGGGCAGACGAATAGGGAGGAAGATAGGAAGAGGGACGAGGTGACTTTTGAGTCAACTCAAAAGCCACCTCAGGTTCGAGAGAGGACAGATGGATATGGGCGGTGATCTGTGGGGAACCCATGATAGATCTTTGCTGGGTGGCAAAGCGTGGGGCTCGGGCAAGGGGTGAGACCGTGGTGAAAGGGAGGGAGGCACACGGGTTGGAGGGGGAAGGGAAGTGAAAATGGGGAGTAGCAGAGAGAGGAAGGAATGACGGGGAGCGTGTAGGGAAGATTGGTGGGAGAACGGGCACGGGAGTGAGAAAGGGGAGAGGGAAGAGACGGCAGGAGAGAACGGTTGAGGGGTATGAGGAGAAAGGGATGGGGTTGGGGGCGGAGGGAAAGTATGTGAAAGAGGTGCAAGAGCATTTGAGCATAGGGTTGAGCAAAGGCCGAACTCGAACAGGTTCGAGTTCGTCCCTGGTCGAACAGCTCGAACAGCCGAACCGAACACTGTTCGGTTCGGCGAACGATTTAGGCCGCCTATGGTGTTCGATGTTCGGCCCAAGGGGCGAACATTTTGAGCACGGAGGCGAACTCGAACAGTTCGACCCGAACATGTTCGAGTTCGCCTTTGATCACATTCACTATAATCACACCTGTCAGAAAGGGTTTTTTTCGGGCCAGAGAGATAAACAAAGGGTTCGCATGGTGCCCCAGTGTTCCTGCAACCGACCCAGTGCTACAAACAACATCCCATTGTCTAACAAGAGTTATATAATGTATAAAAACCCTACGCTAACGCCGCGCCACTGCTACTACCAACAGCAGGCTCCACCCCAGTCGCTGTGTCATCAGCATCCCCCTCACCCTCCCCCTCCTCCTCCTCCTCCTCCTCCTCCTCCTCCTCCTCCTCCTCCTCCTCCTCCTCGTCATCGTCCTCCGCCCCCTCGCCCTCAATGGCAATCTCTGGCGGTGCGACGCCCCTCTGTCGGCGGCCCTCGCCTATCCTCTGGCCGGGGTGTGAGGTGTACCAGGATCGGAGAACCATGATAGCTCGTGTTCTCTGGGAGGCCAGGCGGTGCCGCTTCCAGGAAATGACGTTGCGGCCAAGGGAGAACACCCGCTCGCTCGATGCGGACGTGGCAGGGATCGCGAGATAGTCTCGCGCCATGCGCCTGAGCGTCTGCATGTTGGTGGCGGTGCGCCAGTACTCCAGAGCCGTCACGTCCTCCCGCACCCGCTCCGACAGGTACCTGCTAACCTCGTCATCCTGTAGCATCCCACCCCTCCCCGCCTGCTGGCTCGCTGAGAGACGCGCTGCAAGGCGACGGCGACTAGGGATGTACTGCGCATCCTCGTCGTCATCCGCTGCGTCACCCTCCTCCTCCTCCGTCACGGTGGCAAGTGGGGGCGCCCGGGGGGCAAGCGCTGCAGCCCGGGCCTGGTACTCGGCCACGCGATCGCGTACCAGCTGGACCACCTCGCTAGAAGTGGGACGCGGCCTCACCCTCGGCTCGGTCTCGGGATGCTGCGACTCCCAGTGCTCGTCATCAAACCACGCCGCCTTCATGGACGGATCCAAGAAGGTGGCGATCCACAGCTCGTTGGAGGACATGTACGCGTACTTCTTCAGGACCCCCAGCGCCGCCTCGATCATCGGCTTCAGCGCAGCCGATGGCCCCTTCGCAAGGCGCGCCTCCAAAGCGTCGATCAGGCCGTTGTAGTACGGCAACACCATCGACACTGTAGGGTACGCCGCCCCCTCCGCTGCCTTCGAGACTCTGGCGAATGGACTGAGGAGTGCCTTGACAGCATGCAGAGTGTCCCAATCTGCGTCTGTCAGGCGCAAGCTCTCAACCTTCTTCTTGTCAGTCGCCGACAAGCCCTGTAGGTTTGTGGGTTTGGACAGGCATGGTTGACACAAGGGAACTTAGGTTAGAGAGGGTGGCGTGTGGTTGTAAAACGCACAACAAACATGACCACACACAGTGTTGTCAGTGCTTTGTCCAGGTGGTAAGGACTGCCAGCACACGTATCCCCCGCACACACACAACCCCGGTCGCGAGAACCCGTCACACACACACACCGCTGTCTGGGCAAAGAAGACGTTGATAGGTTCCTGCAGAACCCCGGCTCGCTCGACCATGTCGTGTGTCGAGCCCCAGCGCGTGGGAGAGTCCTGCACCAGCTTCAGTGCCGGCTTCGGTTTGGCGGGGTTGGCCTGCGCGTTCAAGGTCCGTTGCAGGCCCAGGAACTTCCCTGAGCGCTGCGGCGAGAAGCCCACCCACGACGCCATCTCCCTCAGGATCTTCAGCAGCTTGCGGATGGCGGCCACTGCGAGAGCTGCCTTCACGGCAAGGTTGATCACATGTGCCAGGCAGCTGCACACGCAAAACAGCATGAAAGACAGACAAAAGGGGAAGGGTGAGAGGGTCGGGTCAAAGCAAGCCATGAGGACATACGTTTAGGGACACACCAAAAAAGTCACAACTAGGCACGCCCGCAGCCCACACGCTCTCTCGCACACACACTCACCGGAAGTGCATGCGCTCGGTGAAGAAGCACCTCCCACCACCCTCCTCCGACAGCCGCCTGAAGGCAGCAATGTTGCTGGAGGCGTTGTCTGACGTCAACCCAAGACAACGCCCCTCCAACTTCCACTGCACCACTGTCTCCTCAACCACCTTCGCAATCTCCTTGCCTCCATGCCGCCCGAGCATCTCACGGAACTCGAGCACCATCGTGCGCAGCTGGAAGGCCTCGTCTATCCAGTGGCCGGTCACCACCAGCCATGCTCTGTTGTTGGGTGCCGTCCATATGTCTATGGTAATCGACACCTTGCACCCCAGCTCCCCCTCCTTCGCCAGCATCTCCGCGATGGCGGACTGGAGAGCAGCCGCCGCAAAGACAACGGTGTCGCGGGAGACCGTCCAACGGGAGGGGATGAACTTCTTCTGCGCGCAGTTGCGATTTAGCAGGATCAGAAGCTCCCGAAACTGGAAGGGGGGGTGGAGACAAGGGGAGGGGAGAAAGGGGCGTCAAGCATTAAGTGATGGGCGGGAGACCTGCAGGCACAGTATAACAATCGAGCGCAATAAATGGAATAGCAAAGCAAACTTTCACCCTTTCCCTAACCCTCCCACAACACCCCATGGGACAGGGCACTTACAGCCTCGGCCTCCACGATGCGGAAGGGGAGGTCGCAGGTGACCACTAGCTTGGCGATCGCCCGTCGGAGCTCACCCTGTGACAGCTTCGTTGTCATAAACCGCTCAATCCCGCCCCCCTTCTTATCACCACCTGCTGCCTGCGGTGTCTTGGTCGCGAGATGAGGCCACGTTTTGGCATGCGGGTAAGCTTCGACGTAGCCATCTGGAACACCTTTGTAACCCCCGCGTGGAAACGTCTCGCCTGGCAACTGAATGGACGGGGTGTGGTAACTGTGATGCCACACAAGCATATGCGCTGTATGGTGGCTCGCGAAGTGCCGCTCGCCGGGAGTGGTTGTGGACTGCTTCCACGAGATCTTGTCAGTGCAAATCTTGCACTGACGCTTCTCGTCTGCATCCTTCGGTCCGAACATCATAACCTGCCACCCCGGTTTCCTGCTACCCGTCCCCTTGCTACTTTCTGACTCTCCATCCTCGTCTAGGAACTCCGGTGCGATCACGCCCTCACCCAACGGCTCCCCTGTGAACGTAGCGGGGTACGCCCGCTCACTCAACTTGTTCACCCTCTTCCCCCGACTTGGCGGCCTAATGGTCGCGGCCTTTTTCCCCACAGCAACCCCCACGCTCCCACCCCCTTCACGCACATGGTGTGAGCCCGCCTCCGTTGCCGCCTCTCCACCACCCTCTCCCACCTCCTCTTCCCGCCCCTCTGGCTCCAACCCATCCATCTCGTGGTCTTCATCATCCTCTCCCCCCTCCCCACCGCCATCCGTCTCTGGGTCCCACCCTGCCTCACTGTCATCCCCACTCCCCTCATCGTCCTCATCGTCATCGCCATCACCCTCCTCCTCCTCCTCCTCATCCTCCTCCCCACTGCCACTCTCCGGCTGTGTCTTCCCCTTAGCAGGGGGTCGAGGGCCGTCGTAGCGGAAAGTGTGACGTGATGTCGGCGTCGCCAAGGAAAGCAACCCTCCCACAAAGCATGCGCCGGCTCCTCCAGGGCCATCCCCTACCCGCCCCTCCATAGGACGTGGTGGAGATCCTGGTACGCTGCTACCAGCGCCACCTGGACCTCGTGCTACAGCTCCACCTCGTCCAGAAGCCATATCTCCGCCCTAGGCTCAAAAACCCTAAACCCCAGGCTGAGGCAACGGGCGGTTTTGGCGGGTAGTAGCACGGACGCGAACGTACTGAACTTCGTGTGGCCTTCTTAGATTGAGTGATTTGTACCGTACGGCTCAGATTAGACCACGTGTTGCTTGAAGACCTTGCCACAAGAACAACTTGAAACCTAGCCTAGACTATGTAGACTCTACCAACGAAACCCTAGTTTAGATCTCTCGGAGGATTAGTTGTGACGGAGAGCTAAGGCCACAACTCCAAGAATGCAAGGGTGGTGGGGTGGGGGTGTGTGGTAGTAGGGTGGCTAAGCTAAAGAAACGCGATTGAGTTTGAGCTATCAAAAATAGCCCAAACTCAGATCGGCCGCGACCTAAAATTGGTCGCGGCCGAAATTGACGCGAACACCTTGGTGTTCGCGTAGCCCCCGAGTCGAACACGAACAAGTTCGTGTTCGACTTTGGGGGCTTTCTTGACTGAGGCGAACACCGAACATGTTCGGCCGAACACCGAACATGTTCGGGCCGAACAATTTAGGCAAAAAAAAAGGCCTGTTCGGTTCGCCTCGAACATGTTCGAGGCGAACCGAACAGGCGTTCGGATTTTTGCTCAACCCTATTTGAGCATATAGGGGATGAAGAGGAGTGGGAGAGAAAGAGGGGCGGGAACAGGGGGACTCGGGAACAGGGGGACTCGGGAACAGGGGGACTCGGGAACAGGGGGACTCAAGGGGATGCTCTGCCTCTCTGCTCTCTGCCTCTCTGCTCTCTGCCTCTCTGCTCTCTGCCTCTCTGCTCTCTGCCTCTCTGCTCTCTGCCTCTCTGCTCCGCTGCACTATCCCAGCACACATGCGTGGAGCGACTCACAATTCTACGAGGCTTGTCAGGGAGGAGAAGGTAGCATCCATACTCCCTTGGAGGTGTTGAGTCGACTCAAAAGTCACCTAGCAACTCACAGTTCCAGGAGGCTTGTCAGAGAGGAGAAGGTAGCATCAAAACTCCCTTCGAGAGGGTTATTGTTGAGGTACCTGCAGATTGCATGCAGGGCAGAGAGAAGCACAGCTTTTCAGTCGACTCAAAAGCAAAGTTCCTTCGATAAGATTACTGTCAAGGTACCTGCAGATTGCACGTAGGCCAGAGAGAAGCACAGGGCCAAGTGTTGGTCCGCATGGCAGTGCAAGCATGCAGTGTTGGTCCGCATGGCAGTGCATGCATGCAGTGTTGGTCCGCATGGCAGTGCATGCATGCAGTGTTGGTCCGCATGGCAGTGCATGCATGCAGTGTTGGCCCGCATGGCAGTGCATGCATGCAGGGGACATGTAGAGAGAGAGGGAGAGAGAGAGAGAGAGAGAGAGAGAGAGAGAGAGAGAGAGAGAGAGAGAGAGAGAGAGAGAGAGAGAGAGAGAGAGAGAGAGAGAGAGAGAGAGCAAGGATGGAGGAGGCAAGTGATGATGTGCAGTGGGGGCGATGGGAGTGCAAGTGTTGGCGCTTCCGTGCATTGCAAGTTTCTGAATTCTTATAATTCCATAGTTCTTATAATACTCGCAACGACAGGAGTTAGGAGGGAGAGATGGTAGGAGGGAGGAAGGAGGCGAGTGTCTGATGATGTGGGGTGGAAGGAAACAGTCGTTCGAGTTGGGTATCTGCTGTAATGTGATGTGAATGAATTGGTGCAAAGGAGGGAACACTTAGAGAGGCAGTCAGGGGAAGCTGCCTGCCTCGGCTGGGCTGAAATGTGTGTGCTGGGTGTAAACTGTGTCGGCTGCACGCACACAGCTCACAGGGAGACTGGAGCTGGTCCAATGAGTCTGTTTTTAAGTCGACTCAAAACTAGGCTGCAGGCACAACTCACAAAGACTGGAGCTGGTCCAAGCGAGCCAATCCAACTCACAGGGACTTGAGCTGGTCCAAGCGAGCCAATCCAACTCACAGGGACTTGAGCTGGTCCAAGTGAGCCAATCCAACTCACAGGGACTTGAGCTGGTCCAAGCGAGCCAATCCAACTCACAGGGACTGGAGCTGCTCCAAGCGAGCCAATCCAACTCACAGGGACTGGAGCTGCTCCAAGCGAGCCAATCCAACTCACAGGGACTGGAGCTGCTCCAAGCGAGCCAATCCAACTCACAGGGACTGGAGCTGCTCCAAGCGGGCCAATCCAACTCACAGGGACTGGAGCTGCTCCAAGCGGGTCAATCCAACTCACAGGGACTGGAGCTGCTCCAAGCGAGCCAATCCAACTCACAGGGATTGGAGCTGCTCCAAGCGAGCCAATCCAACTCACAGGGACTGGAGCTGCTCCAAGCGAGCCAATTTAACTCACAGGGACTGGAGCTGCTCCAAGCGAGCCAATCCAACTCACAGGGACTGGAGCTGCTCCAAGCGGGCCAATCCAACTCACAGGGACTGGAGCTGCTCCAAGCGAGCCAATCCAACTCACAGGGACTTGAGCTGCTCCAAGCGAGCCAATCCAACTCACAGGGACTGGAGCTGCTCCAAGCGGGCCAATCCAACTCACAGGGACTGGAGCTGCTCCAAGCGAGCCAATCCAACTCACAGGGACTGGAGCTGCTCCAAGCGGGCCAATCCAACTCACAGGGACTGGAGCTGCTCCAAGCGGGCCAATCCAACTCACAGGGACTGGAGCTGCTCCAAGCGAGCCAATTTAACTCACAGGGACTTGAGCTGCTCCAAGCGAGCCAATCCAACTCACAGGGACTGGAGCTGCTCCAAGCGGGCCAATCCAACTCACAGGGACTGGAGCTGCTCCAAGCGAGCCAATCCAACTCACAGGGACTGGAGCTGCTCCAAGCGGGCCAATCCAACTCACAGGGACTGGAGCTGCTCCAAGCGGGCCAATCCAACTCACAGGGACTTGAGCTGCTCCAAGCGGGCCAATGCAAGAGGCGGCTCTCCCGTCAGCTGGTTGCTTCCCAGGTTCCTGGTTGGGAAAGAGATGCAACAGGGGTGGGAAGGGTGCGATGGGGTTTGGAGGTGTGGGACGGGGTGGGGAATAGCGTGGTGGTGGGAGAGTGGCATGGCATGGAGCAGAGGCCAGGACGGTTCAGTGTCGAGTGTGATCAAATATGGTCCAATCATAGGCTCATTTGCTAGGAAAGGTCAAGTCAACCGTGGTCAACAAGGGTAACCGAAGGTCAACAACAAGTCAACTAGTGTTCAGGGTCTATGAAGTGAGGAACTATGGAGTGAGGAACTATGGAGTGAGGAACTATGGAGTGAGGAACTATGGAGTGAGGAACCATGGAGTGAGGAACTATGGAGTGAGGAACTATGGAGTGAGGAACTATGGAGTGAGGAACTATGGAGTGAGGAACTATGGAGTGAATAATGTAGGGTTCCTCAGAGGGCCATGAAGCATGATCCCTCAATCAGAACCTGACAGATGGCCAGTCCAACGGACAGGATCGATCGACGCAGGTTGCTTGTTGGGTAGTAGATTAGACAGGAATGAGCTACTAGAGCACAGGTTGTGAGACGAATGCCACAGGTTATGAGACGAATTTCAAGACGTCCTAAAGGTGAATGAAGTAGATTATTGGTGATTTGAAGTAGATCATTGTTTAGCCCTAAAGGTGCCAGAGGCGCACGCACAGTCGTGTGAGAGATTGCACGTCACTGATATGCCTGGGTATGGTGCTCGATAGCTGGTTGTTGTTGAGTAGACTGCGAGGGGTAGAGAGCAAGTGGGAACAAAAGAGGAAAAGAGGACGGGAGGGGTGAGGAGGGAAGAAAGGGGAGGGGAAGGGGCGAAGGGGGGAAGAGGGAAAGGGGAAGCGGTGTGGGGGACAACAAGGGGGGCTTTTAATCTATGGCACTCTTGAAACAGGACGAAAGGTCTTGAAGACGGGTTTTGATGCCACAGCAAAGAAAACGAGCCAGAGGTCAAGCGCAGGCTGAAAGGGAGGCGGGGAGGGAGGGAGACGGGGGAGGCATACAGATGCAAACGGTGCATGCATGCAAGCAGAGAGGAGGCAGCATACACACGCGCAGAGAAGCAGCACGGAGGGTAGCAAGTAGGCGTTCGGGAGTGTGCTGTGCTGTGCTTACATCTCCCTGGCTCGCGTTAGGCAGGGCTGTCAGCATATCCCCTGGAATAGCGCCCGTGCTTCGATTCCCATTAAGTTTTGAGACGCCTCAAAAGTCAAGTACGCATTGGGGAGGGGGGTGTGCGCAGTTTGCTTACAGCTCTTTCAGATTAGGCATGACGGCCAGCATGCCTGCTGGAATGGAGCCCGAGAGCTGATTCCCTTGCAGCCGCCTGATGCCATGCCATGCAGCACAGCACAGAGAGGTGGGAAGAGGACATGCAAGGGTAGGGGTGGGGCAGGCAACGGGTGGGAGGGCGGAGGGGGGGAGAGAATGGGGGGTGTCAGAGCGAGAGAAGGTGGATGGTGGAAAGGGAGGAAGAGCGAGAAGAGGTGGATGGTCAGGGAGGGATAGAGGGGGAGCATGGGGGTGGTAAAGTGGGGGGTGGGAAAGTGGGGGGTGGGAAAGTGGGGGGTCACTTATGAGAATTCTCAAAAGTGACTCTCAGGAGAGATTTCTGAAAACGGGAATTAGGGGATGACTCACAAGGAGATGGTGGGAAAGCATTTGTGAGGAGGAGAGTGGGAGATTTTGTTACAGGGGTTTGGAAACTAAAAGTGGTTGGCTGGATATTTGGAGCAACAAAGGGGAGCAGAGGCAGAAGGGAAGAGGAACATTTCGGAAGAAAACACTCACAGTTGCGACAACGTTCCAAGTCCCTGACTGTAGCTTGTAGGAATTGGGCCGGTGAGCTGATTGTATGAAAGATCCCTGCATCCATCACATCACACACTCCCGCCATTCCACAGTGCCCCACCCCACCCATTGTGACAAAACACATGACATGAGATCACCATGGCTTCAGCATGTGAGGCAACAGCATAACGTGAGCATGACCTCAGCGAGAATAAAGCCCTGATCACAGTATAAACACAGCAAGAATAAAAGCATATCGTGATATCACAGGCTCTTGCCAAAACAGAATCGCCAAAATCACAAATTACCAAAACTACCAAAATCCCCCCCCCCCCCCCCGCCCCCCTCCGCCCCCCTCCGCCCTCCTCCTCTTGCCATGCCCCTTTGTAAGGCCCGGCATGTCTTTCTATCAGACCAGTTCCATCGTCCACCCACCCACCCACCATGATCGCATGATCACACTTTGATTTATCGCTCCAATCATCATCTCTCCGCACCTCCACGATCCTCGTTGGTGCGTTCATTTCATTATCCCGCCTTTTCCCCCCTTCCCCTTCCACACTATCTTCCCCTTCCACAACCAATTGTCCTGCCACGTCTATAACTGTCAAGGGATGTCACGCCAGCCCCACGCCACCTCAGAGAGTCACGCCTCACAAGGCACCTCAGCTTTTGAGGCGCCTCATCCCTCACAAGGGATGTCACGCCAAACGGCAGTACCTCAGCTCAGAGTGTAATGCACGCACGCACACTCACTGCTCAGCACAATATTGCCCCATTTACACACACCGCCCCGTCGCATCTCCAGTCGCTTTCCTTCCCCTACTTCCTTCACTCCTCCTCCTCCTATCCTATCCCCACTTTTCCCATGTCCCCTTCTCCAAACGTGAACACCCCTCTTCCCACCCCCCCACCTGCCCATCCAGGACCCGACCTAACTGAAATCCAACCCAATCTAACCCGAACCTAACTCCTAGCTTTCCATTGCGTGACCCTCCCCAGCCTTTCTGCCCTCCTCCTCCCGCCTCACAATTCAACATTAACATCCTCGTTGAAGAGAGTTGGTGGGATGGGCCCTGTCAGCCGGTTGTCGCTCAGATTGCTGTGCCAGGTGGAACAGTGGGGGTTCGTGGGGAGGGAAGGGGGGAGGAGAGGGGGGGGCAGGAGAGGAAGGAGGAGAGGCCAGGAAAGGATTTGTGAGGTGCCTCAAAATTCGGAGGGGAATTTTGGGAGGGGCCCTCTGAGACGGTTGTCTCTCAGAAAGCTGTGCGGGGTGGAGCAGGCAGGGGAGGGGAGGCTAGGAAGGGGGTGTTGAGGCTGGGGTCGGATGGTGAGGGCAGGGGGGTTGGAGGAGGTCAGCCAGTCAGTCGTGCACCCAGCCATGCACCCAGCCATGCACCCAGCCATGCACCCAGCCATGCACCCAGCCATGCACCCAGCCATGCACCCAGCCATGCACCCAGCCATGCACCCAGCCATGCACCTAGCCATGCACCCAGCCATGCACCCAGCCTATGATGAGAAAGACGCAACCAGGACGATGCGTCCTGCGTCTGGACGCAGCGTCCGGCCGGACGCTAGGACGCAGGACGCGCGTCCAGACGCAGGAGTACACGGCGAATTTTTTTCGGGCAGCCCGATCGCGATTTTGACATTTGCGATTTCGTCGCGAATGTCGAAATCGCGAAATTTCGACCCCCCAAGCCCAATTCGCCATTGTAAACCAGCCCCCCTAGCCCCCCTTAGCCCAATTCATGCAAAATGGAAATTCACTCAAACCTGATGTGTGATGGTTGACATGATGCAGTGCAGTGGTAGTTTAGTATGCATGGTCGTAAGTGGTTGGATTAAACTTAATGTGTGTGTGACCTTGTGAAACGTGTGACGTGTGACTCACCATAATCTATTTTTTGGGGGAAAATTTTGTGGTTGGGGAAAAATTTGCATTGAAAGTGTGGTAGGTCCCCCCCCCCCCCCCCCCCCCCCCCCTCTCCCAAGCCCTATACAATATTTTTGGCCTGCCCGGGTGTTTTTTTCCCCTGCCCGGGCTTGCGTCTTTTGGTGCGTCTTTTAGGTTCAGGTTCTGCGTCCTGCGTCTGGACGCATGCGTCTGGACGCATTCGTCCAGGACGCAGGACGCGTCTTTCTCATCATAGCACCCAGCCATGCACCCAGCCATGCACCCAGCCATGCACCCAGCCATGCACCCAGCCATGCACCCAGCCATGCACCCAGCCATGCACCTAGCCATGCACCCAGCCATGCACCTAGCCATGCACCCAGCCATGCACCCAGCCATGCACCCAGCCATGCACCTAGCCATGCACCTAGCCATGCACCTAGCCATGCACCCAGCCATGCACCCAGCCATGCACCTAGCCATGCACCTAGCCATGCACCCAGCCATGCACCTAGCCATGCACCTAGCCATGCACCTAGCCATGCACCCAGCCATGCACCTAGCCATGCATCTAGCCATGCACCTAGCCATGCACCTAGCCATGCACCTAGCCATGCACCTAGCCATGCACCTAGACATGCACCCAGCCCAGCCATGCAGCCAGCCCAGCCATGCACCCATCTATGCACCACACGTGAACATGTGGCGCGAGCAGAAGCACAGCCAGCGATGGGCGTGCACTCACATGCGGCCCATTCTCAGGGTGACGATGCTGGTGGGTATGCTGCCTGTGAGACCCCGGCCGGGCAGGGACCTGTAGGGGACACATGGGATGGGACACATGGGGCACATGCGGCACATGGGACAGCCGAGCATGCTTCAGAATAATGGCACAAACAAGAATGGTTTTGAGCGGCACGGCATGGTGTGCCGGGCCAAACAAGGCGCATGAGGGCAAACGAGGGCCAATGCGTGAAAGCGCAAGAATAAGGGGAAAAACAAACAAACAAATAAACAAACAAACAAACAAACAAACAAACAAACAAACACACAGAATGCACCAATTATTTACGAAGAACAACAAAGAACATATGAATCACCAACCCATGACCACAAACATTGCCAAGCAACGAAAAGATATGTCGGCTGTGATTGCATGCACACAAGTTGGTCCGCCAAGGCAAATCATCACTCATACCACCATGGGCAGCAGCAGCAGCAGCAGCAGCAGCAGCAGCAGCAGCAGCAGCAGCAGCAGCAGCAGCAGCAGCAGCAGAAGCAGCAGCACGTCTCAAGACTCATTGACTTGACTTGACTTGACTTGACTTGACTCACAATTTAATGACAGAGCCTTCTTGATTGCAGAAAACGCCCGATATGGTGGCACAGTCGCTGTTAGGTAACCACGTGTCACTGCCTGTGAACGCACCCCACTCATTCTTCAGCTCCTGGAGAATCGGCCCTGGCGTGTAGCATGGGAGGGGAGCAACTTGCACGAAAGATACTACCTTGTCCCTCGCAGTCGTAGGGCCGCACTGTTACATTCAAGGGCGACCTAGACACTGGCTCCTCTCGCGCTTCAGCTCCTGGAGCAGCACGGACCGTGGCGTGTAGTAGTAGCAACGGAGAGAAGCAGCTTGCATGAGAGATACTTAAATACGCCCCTCACAGGGGCGCAGTTGCACTAAAGGGCGAACCGAGACATGCCCCTCTCGCGCTTCAGCTCCTGCAGGAGCACCGACCCTGCCAGGGGAAGCGGGAGGGCGGCGTGAACGGAATGCTCCTCCTCGCTAGGATGCAGTAGAGGGCGGCGGTTTGGTGAGACACTGCCAGGTTGTTACACACACGCGCGCGCACGCACGCACACACACACACACACACACACACACACACACGCACGCACGCACACACACACACACACGCACACACACACACACACACACACACACACACACACACCACACACACACACACACACACACACGCACGCACGCACACACACGCACCAACACACACGCATGCACGCACGCACGCACACACACACACACACACTCACACACACACACACACACACACACACACACACACACACACCGCACTCTCTTTTCTCTCCTGCCGCAGTACCGGCCTTGGCGTGGGAAGCGGGAGGGGAGCGTGGACGGATAGAGTTCGTTGGGACGCCAACGTACGGGTGGCACAGACGCACACACCTCCCACTCGCGGCTCTCGTTCTTCAAGGACTGGCCCTGGGCGCGCAAAAGGGGTGAGAGTGACACGCCCCCCACCCACAGGTCTTCTTCCACAGGAAAGGAACCCCGGGCCGGCTTGGCATGGGAAGGCGGACGGAATATTGAGTCGACTCAAAAGCTGAGTAGCCTCAAAAGCCCCCCACCCATTTGAAGGCGGGGGTAGGGGGGGCTCGCCAGCGGTACTATGGGTGGTGCTCGCGCGTATGCGTCAAGAAAGACGCGCGCGCCGCGCTCTCTCATTATTTCTGGAAAGCGTGAGAGATGAGGAGTGAGAGGGGGCGCGAGGGAGAGGGGGATGTGGCGGAGAGGGGGTAACTGTGGGAGAGGGGGAGCCTGGAGGACTGAGATGGGGCGCTGCAGCAGTATCAGCTGTTGCTGACTCGTGTAAGCCAGGCCGACACCCGCTGTGTCCTTGTTGTTGAAATGCTCGCGAGGACACACACACCCACACCCATCACCCACACCCACAACCACACCCACACCCACACCCACACCCACACTATCCTGTTTTTGAGTCGACCCAAAACTGTCGCTGACTCGTGTCAGTCAAGCCGGCACCCGCTGTTTTCCCCGTGGAAATGCTCGTGAGGACACCCACACCCACACCGACTCTCCCACACAAACGCCGCCTCAGACGTGCTCTGTTTTCGTCAGCATGGCCGTTTGAAGTCTGTAAGTCAGTTAGTCGAACGTCTAAAAGCTTCAAAGTAGCCTCAAAGACGAAAGGCGAAGAAGCTACACTCGGCCGCATGAGTTGCGGAACGCGACGAGTGGAAGGCCGCGGAGGAAGGATTCAGGAACGCGATCGGCGCGCACCTTGTCATAAAACAAGTGAGACCTCTAGATATTCACCCCCCATCGTACGAACCTACGAAAACACGGGAAACGAGTCTTCAAAAAAGAGGCAACGAAGTACGTGCTTCTGTCCAGAGTTGCATCAATGAAGTACTAAGCTTGAAGAATCATGCTGCTGCGAGAGGGCGTGACAGGTCGACCAGGTGGAAAAAACACATTCGCGGAGTTTCTTACATTCAGATTTTGCGACCTTAACCGCACGGGTCCGGGGCAGAAGGGGAAGCGGCGAAACTACTGCAAAGGCGACGATGGCGACGGTGAGGCTCATGGCGAGAGCCATTGGGAGATGCGCTCCGGATATCACTGGTTGGGGAACTGCCAGTCAGAAAAACTTTCTAAGTGCTGCTTGCTGTGTTATTGCAAATGCAGCCGCTAGTACTACTAGGCAGTATTCGCTCTGTTCCTACTTTCTTGAATGCCTAAGTGTGGAGAGGATACCTAGATGTGTCTAAGAACAGTATTTTAGGAAAGGCTCATGGGACCCAGTCGTGTCGCCCTAACACCATTTTTCTCATATTTTGACTTCGGTATGCCATATAAGACGGATGCAGGGTAGCATTTTGCCGTGACTGCTGACGCTGGTTCGACATTTTCAGGATTGGTTTACTACTGGGACTGACTCGTGGTTCTAGACCTTGGCCAAACCTAGCGAAAAACGCAATAGCAAGGAGGTGGAGGAAGGAACAGCAAGGCCAGGAACAGCAATGGCAAGTCGGTGGGCGAGATGAAACAAGAGTCGAATGGATGCGGGACGACTTTGTGTAGAATTTGGAGGATGCCGCGAAGGAGGTGTTAAATTTTCTGAAGAGTTTTCCCCAGATTTGAGAAGCTCGGCTTCCTTCGGACACGTAGTTTTTTGTTTAAGCATGAAGGGCTATTTTATTGTCACGTAACAAAACTTAGAGCCTCAACCCCATACTCACGCAAGGCACCTCTCCCTCATTATTCTCACCCCGACCGACTGGTTTTGTTCATGGTCCCCTGAAAAGGAGTTGGCATGCCTAGGAAATCTGGATTATAACTCGCTGCCAAGGAGTGTCACTATAAGAGACCCTATAAGAGACCCTACGAGGGCGTTTTTACAAAAACCCGTCTTATTAGAAAGGAAACGTATTCCTATCTTTTGGGTGACTGTTCGCGACAACCTCCCGTTGTGGTTGAGGCTTCAAACGTTTCGAGTTTCAACACCATGTCGAACAACCAACTACTCACAAACATGGCACATGAAAAATCGATAAATTCCTTCAAATCTTCACTTGTAAGATATTTGAACCACGTATATGACGGATGGTAGTCATAAGGGAAACGATTGCTAAATTTCGTACACTCTGCCGATTTCGCCATCACTGCGAAATCAATGGCACAGAATTCGAGGAAACGGTAACCGTGTGCACCTGAACTCAAACAAAAATGAGCCAAAAATGCAAATGTTGTGACACGTTTATAGTTCCCTCGTGCCCATTACAGAGGTTGTTGAACGATAACTGCCCTTCTGGTTTATGTGACTCTAAAGTTTAAAGCTGAGCTGGGCAGCTCCTTGTTGTCACCTGCCAGCTCAAAATCATTACGATGTAAGACGCATGCGGAAGTGGGTGACAGCAGTTCAGCGTCAACGGAACAATGTGACACCGTACTACACCGTACTGCGCGGTAAAGTTGACGGAGAACGCCTCGGCTGTCAGTCATAACCGGCCTCCCCCCAGCTGTCAGTCCGTATGGGAAATGGGGGAGGTCGGGGAGGGTTGCCATGCTGAAGTGTGGTGCTATGACAGCAAATCTTTAGAAGTGTCGCGTACAATTCGCTCTCCGCCTGCCAGACGGAGTTGGTCTACCCATAATATCTGGGCTTGCGTGTCAAGAACGTGGTTGCGCTCGGTCCATTTCGCTGGTGGTTCGTCGGCCGTTGTTTTCGCGAAGGAACAGACCAAACTTCCACGCGCCTGGGTGAATCCGTAAGGGCGTGTAACCATTTTAGTTTTTAGCCATTTTGCGGACTGTCCGGCGGGCAAACGGACAGTCCTACTAACGAGAATAGGACTGTCCACTTCGAGTGTTCGGCACTTCGGCTCCGTCCGAAATGCCCTGTGACACTTTTTCCGAGATGGTAGACTCCGCGAATACTGTAGCACCGACGAAACAGTGCACCCTCGTAACACAGTTCTGCAATGCTCGCCCACCTCGCCCAGTATGGTGCGCCCCGATTTCAAATGTTGAAACATTTCAAGGCCCAAAAGCAACGCGCATATCTCACAGTACTTGAAACATCACACAGACACAACTCACCAAGAAATGTTGCCTTACTAGACTACCGCCATGTCTAGGCGTCTCCTGCTCTCTGTGCTTCACCTTCTGTACAGAGGGTATCAGGAGATCATACTTCGGCCAACATTTGACTATCTAGTAGAGGTTACCGTCCTCTTGGAGAATGACGACCATGCAGTCCATCGCACCTTTCCCAAGGGTTTCTCGCCAATTTCAGGCAGTCAGGTTGGAATTAGCGTGACAAAAGGGTTCTCGAAGTTGGCGCGAAATGCTGGGTGGCGATTGCAGGCAACGTCAACCAGCACGAAATTACAAATTGTGTTCGCGCATACTGTAGTTTCGCCGATCACCAGCAAACTGCAGGAAATCGGGAAGTGGTTGGACACGTCAGCACCCAAATGATCGCGTTGTTACTTTTGAATGGAACTGTAACATAGAGTACATTTTTTGTGTAGGAAACTAATTAATGCATTGTTTTGTAGTCACAATTTAGGACTAAATTCGTAAAACGTTATATCTATTGACAGATCGTTGTAGTCACTAATCATCTAGTCAATATAGTCACAAATCGGTGAGGACGTACATTTTTGCAGAATTATTTATGCGCATTCCCATATCATTTTCCAATTTTAATGAGAATTAACATTAATGGAAGCAAAAAAAAAAAAATATCTGACGTGTAATCACCTACCCCAATTCAGAACACACACAGCACCAAAATCATAATAATTGGCTATGAGGGGAATATTGGCCTTCACAATCCAACGCTCAATTTGAGCCTTTCGAATGTACATCTCTCGCCAGTTGGTTGACTTGTCTAGACCAAGGCTGGCCATGCCAGTGAGCATGCTGTTCTCAACCTGTAACACGAACATAATCGTGAGTTAGTTAATCGTGAATTAGCACATAAGAATGTCGAAGGAAATAGCCTCGCCCTCGCTTGAGCGTAGCTGATCTCGCCGCAAACGGGAAGTTCGCGACGGAGCAGTCGACGAAATGGGCTTCTGCAGTTCGGCGGAAGTTGCAGTCGAGCAGGTTCTGCTCGACGGAATCTGGTCGACGAGCTCTGCGCGATGAGCTCTGGTCGACGATCTCTGCGCGGTGAGCTTCCGTCGAAGAGCACTAGTCGAAGAACTCTGGTCGAAGAGTTCTGGTCGAGAAGCTATGAACGGCGAACGTTGTTCGACCGTGCAGAGTCGAGCTGATCGACCGAAAGCTGCAGAGTTGCGCGAAACTCTGCGAAGGCGTGCGAACATTCGCCCAGGAGATTTTGGCGAAGTTCTACCTGCGGAACGGCATCACGTGGTCGACGGCGCGCACCTGGCAAAACCGACGACACGTTTTCTACCTGGCACCTGCGCAATGTGCCTGACGGTGAAACCACCAACCTGCACCTACTTGGTAGGTGCGCACATCTGCGCAGATAGACAACCTGCGACCGTAGAAAGTTACCTGCGATTGCAGATAGTCACCTGCGACTGCAGTGCTGGCAGATCGCGCGCAGTGCAACGCTGGCAGGTCACTCTGCTGCAGCGTTGGCGAGCCGCTCTTCTGCTGCGCTGGCAGAGTTCGCCCTTGCTAGGAGTTCCATGCCATTCTAGTCCTTTTGTTTCTGTATGCCTCATTGTTGCTCTCTATTCTTTTCTTTTCCTATCAACTTTGTTAATGCACGTTGTTCTTTCCTTAGTGGAATTCTTGCCAAACTTCTCAGTGAACATAGCAAGCAGTAAGAACGTTAGCATAGCGCTACGATCACTCGCACAACCCCGTGCCCTCCTCCGTAGTCCACTCCCGTTGTGTAGCGACTCTCCGCATGGTGCGGTGAGCGTGGAACGAACACGCGACCTTCAGATAGCCGACTGTGCGTTCATTACCTAAGTTGTAGTAGGCCGGCAACTATCTAGCCCGCCATGGTCGACCAAGAGGAGGTCGCTGCAGGCGTAGAGGATACCCTGCAGGCGCGGTTAGAAGACGTTCGGGCACGCGACGCACCTGGCGAGTACGGTGGAGCAACCTTGGAGGTTATGCTCTTTGGAACCCGCGTGCAGTGGGCGCGCGAGCACCCAACGATCCGTACTGAGGCGGATGGACTGCCCGCCACTCCCCGACCGGCACGCAACGACGGTGGCGTCGACGATCAGGTCGACGGTGGCAACCAAGTCGGCAGCGACGGAGGCACGAGGATGACACGTGGAGTGATTTGGGCAGCCGATGGCGGCATCGGCGGAGTGCAGGCGCGCGCTCAGCGTTCGGCAGCGGCAGGAAGCTCGAACGGCAACAGTGACGGTCGACGACGTTCTCCTGAGCGGAGTGGAGTCGGGCCGACTTCGGCGATCCATGCGTCAACTGGTCGAGACGGAGGAATCGCGCCGTCGTATGGCTACTTCAAATTCTCGCCGGACAAAATCGTTGTGCCGAAGCCGCTCGAAGGTCGGCACGACCTGATCACGTGGACGGAGTCTATCGAACCGCAGCTGGAGATCGCCGGATTGAAGAGGTTCGTCGACGGAGACGTGTTGGCGCCGGACGAGGAGGAGGTCGAGCTCTGGTCGGAATTTCGCGCAGCTCAACTTCTGACGTTTATGGTCATTTCGAGGTGCTGCTCGCCGCTGGTGCAAGTCGCATTGAAGTCGTGCAGATTTCGGGTGGATGCTGGCTACCAAGCGTGGCAGTACATCATGCGCACCTACAAATCGACCGACGACCTATACATCGGCCAGCTGGAGCAGAAGTTGACGAACATCAAGATGGGCGACCAGGAGTCTGCAACCGTGCTCGGCGGATTTTGGCCGAGCTGCGGATGGCTGGCGTCAGCTACTCTACAGCTTCCTACATTACGCACGTCCTCAAGGGTCTGCCGATGGGCTACAATTTGTTGCGCCGAATGTTGGCGATGCCTGGCGCGCGTGAAACGCTCAACGAGGACACGCTGTCGAGCCAGATCATCAACGACGAGTTCATGCAGGAGTCCGAGAGGTCCGCAGAACTGCTTCCGCAGGCCAACTACGTCTCCCCGGC